ACTTTTCATTTCACATACAACTGAAATTTCTGACATATTCTGAAAGGTGGCTTTTAAACGCATCTTTTCCCTATTCATTTGGAAAGTGGAAATTATGGAAAATGAGATGCATTTTCATCATTCGACGCTCCTTTTATTTCCAGGAAGGAATATTACTGTACAAATAGAGGTGGGGGAAGATATTTGCTGTACTGTTCATAATTGATTTGTCAGAAGTAAACATTTTAATCTGAAAACATTCTGGCAGGCCTGCAATTGTTGATGATTACCAAATCGAAAGTCTGATTTAAAAAAAAAAAACAAAAAAAATCCAGCTCACACAGATCTAATCTCCATATCTTAGATGAGTGTAATAGGTTATCTGAAAACACTTGGATACATGAATCACTATGATATTTTGGTATATCACAATTAAATGGGAAACATTTAATGGATCACATTTCATCTACAATACCATTTCTGAAAAGAATGATTTCAGGCAGTGAAAAATGGTTTGTCTACAACAATGTGGAATGAGAAAACCTTTAACCATTCCAAATTCTTGATCTGCATTTAAAGATGATGATGATTTTGTTTCTATTAAAAATACCACCTTCATTTCATGTTTGATTTAATTAAGAGAATCTCAGGATATGAAATGTTGAGTCTCACTCTTTTTGATGTGGTTCTTCATCTGTCCTTGTTACTCCTTATGCCTTTATTTATTTTTTTTTTTTATACATATTCAAGTTTTTAAATAAACTTGATTACAAAATTGCATTAATTTTGTTTCTATAGTTGACCAACTAAATACTATAATTGTGGAAAAAAAAACTTCTACTTTGACATGTTCTTATTGCTTGCAGTATTTTTTTAACTAGTCTCATATTTAGATCTGTTTAAAAAAAAATTGTTAGAACGTATTTTTATTCTCACCATAGAAATTTTAGCATAATACCTCCTACTATAAGCTGCCTTATTGATTAGACCACAAAGGCTATTGGCTACAGAAACTCAAATTGAATAGATTTTATTCTTTATCTCTGAAAGCTTGATATGTTGCCATTTTTGTTTTTAATGCTTACATTATTGGTATTACTACATAAATTATTTCTTAAATGAATGCTTGTGGTTTTTTTTAAATTTTTATTTCTGTTGCTTTGTCATCCATTCATAAAGTTTTAATGCTTTTCATTAGGTTTTTGGCATGTTGTACAAATGTTCCACACATATTTGGTACTAGAGGAAATACACAACTTTATAACCTACCAATAAAACCAATGTTTACTAAGTCTAGCACAAAATCCTAATGAATTGTCTATTAAATTTGCTAGTCATTTTGTGGTAAATGTGAGTCCAAGTGAATTTGTTTCTAGTGAATCAAATTACATTTTAATTTGATAGTCATCATAACCATGCTTCTAATTCAATGAATATTTGCATTTTTTTTTTTTTTTTTTCCCCAGACTCGTTAATCCCTGCAACCAGTTTCCCACCTCGTCTTGATTATCCTCAATCTGAATTGATCTTAGACAGTGGGGACAATTTAACACTTTCTTGCCAAGGCTCTCATGAAGTTGAATGGGACATCAAGGTAGGTTGAGTGACAAAACATTTCTTCATGTTTTACTTTCTCTCTTTTGTAGCCCATCACAAAGCATCATGAAGTAAACATTACATTCTCTGCTGCCTAAATTAATTTTCTGTTTTTGTTTGGTTTTTATATATTAAATAAGAAAAATCAATATTAAAATCTTGTTAATATTAAGATGAAGCACAACAAAGCAGGATGAGATGAAATTGTAATATACTGGGTGCGATGGGTAAATTGTCGCCATTTTTATGATTTTAATTTTGTGCATGTGCGTTCTTTGTTTTTGATTTTGTCAACTGCACAGTATAGTAGGGTCAGTTGGGCACCATCTGTGAGAATAAGAGCACCATGACTCGGTTCGCTCCACCAGAAAGGCCTACATCAAGTGCCTTGGGAGGTAGTGTTACCCTGGGACAAGAGTGGTTGCTGGAAAACACTGTCTGGCAACAGGTCTCTTGCATCATGCCACACAAACAGGAACCCAGACATGGATGTCAGACAATTTCTGCAACCACATCACCCCTTACATCTGGTCACCTAACCCCCCAGACTGCAACCCTCTTGATTATTGTGTGTAGGGTGCGGTTGAACAAGAGACCAACAAAACTCCTTGTAACACCAAAGATGAACTGAAGGCAAAGATTATGGTAGCATTCATCAACTTAAACAAGGAGACTGTCCAGAAGAGTTGCAGGAGATTCCAAAATTGTGTGGAGGCCGTGGTTGAAGCCAATGGTGATTTTATCGAACAAATTTAGTATTTAAAGATATTTTTGTGTAATTTTAGTAAATATATCTGTTAAAATGAGATATCAGTGTTATTTTCATTTTTGCATAATTTAGACAACAATTTACTATTCACACCCTGTAGATGTTAGCATCCTTATACAACAGTGGTGAAATACTAAAAGACTTAATTAGCGCAGAATCATTATAATTCTGCCAAATTGAAAATGAACGTGAAGATGAGTTTTTCATTGGATTTATTTAATCAGTACTGGCAGGTGATTCAAAAAGAAAGGAGTAACTATTAACAGTAAGAAGTTGTCAGCAAAAGGGGCAGTCCATGTTATGAATTATATCAGGGGATGTGAGAAAATTTAACTATCTGGATCCTATATGAACAGACATCAGAAATGTTTTGCAGAAATGTGAACGTGCATAAGAATAATGCAAGATGCCTTTCAGAAGATGAGTATTAAGGGATCAGAAAATCTACATAAGAACAAATAAGTGCTGTACACATAAGCAATATTTAATCAACTCTATTGCAATGAATACTGAATGAAGAGATGAAAAAAAAGTGAAGTGTGAATCTACTGGCCAATGCTGAGAATATCTTAAAAAGAGCTTGAAAGAAATGAGGAAATATTAATGAGTATAGGTACTACAAAGAAAGTACTGCTGACAATCACAGAGACAAGTGAACTTTGTGAACACATAATCATGAGGAAAGAAGTCTTGGAGAATAATGGCATATCAAAAACAAAAGGTGTTGAAGAGCAAGTAATGTACATGATTCGTCTCAACAAATGAATAGCAGAAAAAGGATGACAAAAGAAGTGGATGGTAAAAGGATGAGTTTTTTAGCACAATAAAAAACAAGAAATCGAGGAGAACCATGATTGCCCATGTTTTAAGACACTGTTTGACTTCATTTTAATTTTGAAACATTTTAAACATATTTTCAATTCTTTTCATAGCAACTTTTCATCTCTTAAACTTTCTCCATGTTTGTACTTTTTTTTTCTCTCTCTCTCTCTCTCAGCCCATCTCTTTCCCTGTCTCTCTTTTTTAACCCCACTCTCTCTTCCATTGTTTTAACCTCTCTCTTTCTCCTTAGCCTCTCTCTTTCTCCTTAGCCTCTCTCTTTCTCCTTAGCCTCTCTCTTTCTCCTTAGCCTCTCTCTTTCTCCTTTCTAGCCTCTCTCTTTCTCCTTAGCCTCTCTCTTTCTCCTTAGCCTCTCTCTCTTTCTCCTTAGCCTCTCTCTTTCTCCTTAGCCTCTCTCTTTCTCCTTAGCCTCTCTCTTTCTCCTTAGCCCTCTCTCTCTTTCTCCTTAGCCTCTCTCTTTCTCCTTAGCCTCTCTCTCTTTCTCCTTAGCTCTCTCTTTCTCCTTAGCCTCTCTCTTTCTCCTTAGCCTCTCTCTTTCTCCTTAGCCTCTCTCTTTCTCCTTAGCCTCTCTCTTTCTCCTTAACCCTCTCTCTCTTTCTCCTTAGCCTCTCTCTTTCTCCTTAGCCTCTCTCTTTCTCCTTAGCCTCTCTCTTTCTCCTTAGCCTCTCTCTTTCTCCTTAGCCTCTCTCTTTCTCCTTAGCCTCTCTCTTTCTCCTTAGCCTCTCTCTTTCTCCTTAGCCCTCTCTTTCTCCTTAGCCTCTCTCTTTCTCCTCTTTCTCCTCTCTCTTCTCTCCTTAGCCTCTCTCTTTTCTCCTTAGCCCTCTCTCTTTCTCCTTAGCCTCTCTCTTTCTCCTTAGCCTCTCTCTTTCTCCTTAGCCTCTCTCTTTCTCCTTAGCCTCTCTCTTTCTCCTTAGCCTCTCTCTTTCTCCTTAGCCTCTCTCTTTCTCCTTAGCCTCTCTCTTTCTCCTTAGCCTCTCTCTTTCTCTTTAGCCTCTCTTGCCTGGGTCTTCCATCATGTTCTTTCCTTTAAGCCACATCTCATCTCTGTTGCAGCTTTCCATTTCATGTTTCCCGGTGTTCAAAGAGCATTGAGAAGCTGTCATAATTGTGGCATTTTGATGCCAGGCATGAATCATTATGATGCAGTTACCCTTTTCCAATATTCAGGTGACTTCCACCATCCATTTCGGTTAACTTTGACATGTCTAAAACTGTAGTGATTAGGTGTCACAATGCTGTTCACTGTTGGAAAAAATAAAAACTTTAGACACTGTCAAATTCAGCCCAAACACCCTGTAGTACATTAAATGTAATACAGGGTGTGGCCATTGGGTTGTAGAACAAAAGCCGAATGGCATCTTTCAATGCCAATGTCTGATGAAGCCTTTGTGTTTTATTCAGTAAGTTTTTCTGTTGCCATCTGTTTTGAATTAGTTATGATTATTTCTCTGTCTATAATACTAAGGCCTTTGGGAAAGATAAGTCATGACTTACAATTTATATTCTTCTTGCTAGTCATCTTGGCCATTGTTAATTAATGATAGTAAATAGAAGATTAGGAGAATGAGTAGATGAATGTTTCACTTATCTCTAAATTACATTATTTCTTCAAGCTTTGGTCATCAAAATATCTGCTATATCCATTGGAAGTAAATGTATATAATCATTCTTGGGTGCAACTGAATATCTGAAATAAATTTGGGAGGTGTGAAGGTGTTTTTAATTCTGATTTCAGTGACTGGCAGTTAATTTTTCTGTTTTCCATTTTCATTCCTAGTTAAGCACCACTGACAATCCAAATAATGAAAACGACCTTATGATAACATATTTCGATGAAAGAAAGCGTTCATCTCTTGTTATTACTGGTCTCATTTATACTCAGACTGGTAGATATATTTGCCGTTATAAATTGAAACCTTCAAGCACAGCAGAGGTTTATGTTTATGTTCGAGGTAAGTTTTTTACATTTTAAAATCATTTTATGTTTTTAAATTAGTAAAATTGAAAAGATAAGATATAAGAAAATATGAAAGAACTTTATTTACCTCCTGATTGTCATATAATATTTTAATAGACATCAACTACATCCACTTAAGCAAAACTTATCTGGTAGCTGTGTTCAGTCCTTGGAATAAGCAGTGAAATCCATAGCCTCTTTGTTCAGTGGAAATGACATCACAAGGAGTGATTAATTGGATTAAACAAAAGGTTTATTTGGAAATACCTAAAATGTTATCTTATGTCTTACCTGGAGGATAGAACCACTTAAATAATCAACTCTGAGATACCAAATGAAATAAATCTGTCTGTTCTAGGCAAAATTTTAATATTTCTTAGCCAACTGAATTTAGGAACTAAAAAAACATTCTCATCAATTTATGTAAATATTTACATATTTGAAAATGAAGTTAAATTCTGAAATAAAGCACTTTTAATTTCTGTCTGGATTTCTGCAATGAAGAGTTATTGTTATTTACATGATTTATGATCAGATTATTGTCCTCTTCTTTTTTGCTGTTATCACATTATTTTGGCTGTTGTTTTTTGTTTCATTTCATTTTGACTGTTTTGTGTTAATTTTTGTTCTTTTTTTTTTTTTTTTTTTTTTTTTTTTTTTTTTTTTTTTTTTTTTTTTTTTTTTTTTTTTTTTTTTTTTTTTTTTTTTTTTTACTTTTTTTTTTTTTTTTTTTTCAGATCCCAAGCATTTCTTTACAAAAAGCTTCATCTTTGCTCTTACCACAAGCTTGCGCAAATGCATCTTTCAGTGTACAGTGACAGATCCACAGGTGAATGTTACCCTCTACAAGGGCAAGAAGATATTTGAGATTGAGGGTCTGACGTATGACCCAAAACAGGGCTTCATTATTCCATTTCCCACTGCACGAGTCAGTGGAAACTTTAAGTGTATAGGAAAGCTGAATAATGAAACACAAATTGCTAATATCTTCACTCAGTACAAAAGTAAGTGGATTTGGAAAATTTATAGAAAACTTCACTTTTTAGAGAGTGTCTCAAAATAATTTTCTATTTTCATATTACTACAGTAGGCTTTTTAGATTTTACATGTATTCAAATCTATCGGATGTGAAAAGAACCTACTGTACTGTTTTGTAGTTTTTTTTTTTTTTTTTTTGCTATGCTGGTGAATTTGATCCTCACTGAGTGATACCTTTTATCTTTGTTTTTTTTAGCACTTTAGTTTGCATGTTTTTTTTTTTTTTTTTTTTTTTTTTTTAAATTCAGCTTTAGAAGAAATAATATTGTACTTGAAGATGAATGGTTGATGTGCCAGGAAAAAGTTTTGTGTATAATTGATAAAATGTTAGCTGTAATTCTTGGAATCCTATCAGAATTTAGGTAAATCCCTACATTTAAAAAACTGACATTGAGTCATAAATTTGTACAGTAATATTCTAATGAAAAGGTCTAAATCTCAAATCTGTGCTCATATTTTTTGTTTTTTCTCTAAAATTATTTGTAATTAGAGTTAATACACCTGGACAATTAAAATTGCCAATATCTAATAAATATCTGGTTGAAAGGAAAATCTCACAGTATCTAAATTTAATATCCTACAAACTGCAAGAATTTTCCTTCCAATTAGATAATTGTGTTCAAGTTGTTGCATTTTAACTTGGACAGTTTGAAAGGGTTGGCATTTTTTCCAGTCAGTATCAGAGGATCATTTAGTAGCATAAACTATAAAGGTGTGAAATTATAAAATAAACTTAGATGATGCCTTGGTCCCTATTGTAAAATTTATTACTTTGATCCTCTGGCACTCAGCTTCTCTTTTCTTTAGAAAACTCTGTTGGGTTAAGGCAGTGATTCCCAAACTTTTACGAATTTTCAGGATGAAAATTAGCTCATGCCTCACCCAATTTTATATGAAAAAAGCATATTTAAAAATAAAAAGTAGTGGGTTAAAGGGAGATAACCATGGATTCTAAGTCAGAACATTATCATTAATAACTCTCTCCTCCAATTTACAGACCCTAATTACTATATTCTTAATACTTGATATAATGCAAAAATATCACAATGATAAAATCACCCAATAATTTTTTATAATGATTTATACTGAGATTCGTGCATGCAATTACAATTGTTATATATATATAATTTTTTTTTTTTTTTTTTTTTTTTTTTTTTTTGAAAGTGTTTCTAAATCTTTGATTGTCTTGCAATCATTCTGCATAACCTGGCATCCTCTTCTGCTGCATCTATGAGGCATGCTACACCAATTGGGAATCATTGGCTTTTCTTTTTAAGCTTACTAGACTTGGAGGAAAAGCAAGAAACATCATTTATCATTTCTCTTGTTCATAAAGAAATAAATGGGTAACATTCTGCATTTTTTTTTTTTTTTTTTTTTTTTGGTTATTTTATAACCCAATTCATTCTTTAACCGTCTTAGACTATGCAGTCTTATGACAGGCTAGATTTATAACTGAAATATAAGCAAAATAAACTTTATAGCAGATACATTCAATGAAAAGCAAAAAACAAAGGAAAGATAAAAACATGAGCATAAGAAAAAATACTCAAAATTTTAAAAAAAAACAAGTATAGAGACTTTGAAGAAAAAATGAAAATCAAATCTGTTTTATGTTCGTGTAGCAAAAATTGAACTTGTAAAATTGATGTGACCAACTTTTTTTTTTTTTTCTTTTTTTTTTTTTACCTTTTTCTCAGATGTGGAAGACAGTGTTTTTCCTGCAATAACATTGGATCAAAAGCAATTCATGGTTGGTGACAAGATTGAAATAAAATGTGAGGTTATTATTTCGAAAGGTGGACAAATTAATATGGGCTGGCAGTTACCATTTGACAGTGTGAGTATTTCTTGAATTGTTAGCATTTGTAAATACAATGTCTTGTACATTTAATTTTACATTTAGCTAAAATGGCTTCTGATATGAAATGATATTGTCACAATTTTCTTTGAGTATGTTTCTACTTTAATTTTTTTGCTTTTTTAATATTTAAATAAGATTTCATTGAGACACATACTCTTTTTTTTATTTATTGCATATAATTTAAAACTGCAGCATATATATATTATCTCTTATATTATCCCTCTTGTGTTGTTGCAGTCAAAATAGCCTAATGGAATCTATTCCTCTTCAGACTGGAATTTGGTTTGCTTTCCCTACCCATCTAAATTGGTTGCTACTATGTCTTCAGACTAACTTTTTTCACTATTGTCCTAGAGCCATCCCCAATAAATTTTAAATCATCCCAAAATCAAATAAAATGAATATTTTTATAAAAATGTTTAATTAAACATTCTAGTTAAATCTCCTTGAATAATTTCACATATTCTTAATTTTCAGTGTACATTATTTTATCATTCTGTCATTCTCAGAATTGTGTTCTATGCCTTCATTTTGTATATTAAAAGTATTAACACATTCCAACAATTCAAAAAAAAAATGTTTAAAGTCTCTATCAAAAATGTTTATTTACAAATACAATCACATTGTGACTAATTTCAATCATTTTTTTTTTCATTTTTAAAGTTTTCTGTTTAGTTTCTGATGAGCAGAAAACATAACATGTTAGTGGTTTATTCAAATTTTTTAACCAAAAATTGACAAAAAATATAATTTTCTTAAAGTAAAATTAGTTCTTACAATCAGATCATAATGTTTTCCATATTTAGAAATAAATAATACAAATATCTAAATTTAAGTCCTTCAAACTCTATTTTTCATTTAGGTTTCCTTAAATAGTTTAAAAAATGCTTAAGTTTTATTTATATTTATGTGTGTGTGTGCACTCCATTTATTAAATCTACTATTATTGGTGAGATTTTTTTATTTTAAGAAATTAGTTCTTTTAGAATAAATAGAATTAAAGATGATATTTTTAGTCTTGGTTGTGACCCAAAGTAAGAGAGCTCAGTTTATTTTGCTATTTAACTTATAGCTGGAGGGAGATGATTCCAGCCTTTTCCAAGGGCACTGGGGTGGGAAATAAATGAAACCAAATTCCCTGAACTCAGCTTGTTAATTTCATGATCCACATGTCCCTTTTGTTTTTTGTAATTGGGAATAAACAATCACTGCCCATTTGAAGTGGGGATTGTTTCACTTGACTTCAAATTAGATCATCATAAGATTTTTTTTTTCCTTTCTGGTTAGTATTTTAATTTTGAGGCTGCTTTAATTTTGGCAGAGGTGGCAGGAATATGCCAAGTAATAAAACTCATAGGGTTTTTATAAGCATAGCTTGGATCTGGTACAAGGCTGAAAGTGTGGAGTATCCAGTAAAGGTCAAACTCTCTATTTGATCATAATTAATCTAACAAGAATGTGTCAAGTATTACAACTCCTGTACACAACATTTATTACCAATACAGTTATGGCTAAAATAAGATTTAATAATTCAAGTTGAATCAACATATAGATTTAATATCAAAGATTTCATGTTATTAAAAAACATGTTGATAGATTTAAAGGAAAACTTGGTAATTTGTTTCATTACACATTTGAAGAGTAGTTCCTTGGTTGTGTAAAGATTCACTGAAATCTTTGTGCTTGAAGAAATAACTTTTGGTTAAGTTGACCAAAAGATTTTGGTCAACTTAATAAAAGAATATATACTTTATTTCTTTTAAAAAAATATTCATAATTTCTAAGTAGCTGTAAGTAATTTGTAAGATCTAGAGGTAAACTTTTAAAAACTTTTATCTCAAAATGTGGGACTTCAGCATTTGGAATTTGTTGGTGGTAATAATTATTTTTCAAATTCTTTTTGTACTTTGTTTTCACAAAATATTGATTCTGCTTCTCCAGTGTAATGCATAATGGTTTCCCTTATATATGGTTATTTTTAAATCTTTAAAAAAATTATTTTTTTTACATTCTTTACTCTCTGCCAAATGCTGACTTTCTTACATTACTAAAAACCTTGTGAAAACAAATAACAAAAATGGATGTAGTTATTCATCCTAGAGATAAAGATTTGAAAAAAAAAAACATTTGGAAAAGAAAAACAGTAATAAACAACTTTTGTAATCACAATCATCACAATCATTACAATTATTGAGCTTTGCTTCCACCTCATTTTTCAGACAACTTTCAATGGTTCTGATGAAAAGGTAAAAATCCAAAACTAAAAAATGCCACAAGAGACATTTTATTGCTGTAAAGTCTCTTCTCTCTTTTTTCTGTTTCTGTTCTGGCATCATAAAAAAGAAATAAATAAAACACACACATAAATGCATGTCTATGCATGCTTTAACTCTTTTCATTGTCTTTCTTTTATACTTACTCTAAACCAAATTTAAATGATTTCTTTTTCTTTAGTTTATCATTTGACATTTCTTTTTTGATCTAATGAAATAAACATTTTCAAAAACGTTTCCCTTTTTCGAACAATCAGTTAATGAAGTGGATGTTGCATTTAAATTTCATAAGATATATATTTTATCAGTTTCGTTTTCAATAACATTTTAGAGCAATTATTATAAATATTGTGTTTCCAGGTAGAATTTACATTAGGTAGGTTAAATAAGTACAAGGAAAAAGATGCTGTACAGAATTTGTGAAAAGAATATTCCCTTTCTTTTTTATGTAACAAATTATTCCAAAACAAAATTTCTTAATCTGGAAAAATGAAATTAAAAAAAAAATAGCTAAGGTGATCAGCTTTGATTATCAATCATCTAAGTTTGATGAATTTTTTAATTTCATATCAGTAATTAAAGATTATAGATGCATTGAAATTACAAATTTATATATATATATATATATATATATATATATATATTATGTTTGAAAAATATGAAATTTTGAATTCTTTGCCAATAATCTTGAAAAAAAAATGAGTCTTATTTAAATCAGATAGAAATTGTTAAAAAAATGAAAAAAAAAACTTCTTTCTGGAAGTGCAGTATTTAAAAATAGCCTTTTTTTTTTTTTTTTTTTCTAGAAAAATATTTGTAAGATTAGAGCCTATATTTCTACTACAAACTTGAATATTTTCATTTTAAACAAGCTATATGAAAACTTATTTTCTCTTGGGTATTGAAATGTAGACATGTTTCAGTTCTCTTAGCTGTAACCTATCATCTCAAACTTCTCTGTGTGTGGCATGGTGTAGCCCCGCCCCTTAAGTCTTGTGGTTTTATTTCTGATTCTCACTTGATTGCCTTTCAAAAAGCAAAATTCTTTTTTGTTTTTCTAAATTGCCTCTAGCTGCAGCATGCCAGAGTATAAAGGACCATAGGTTGTTGTAGATAGTCTTTTAATGTTTCTGATTAGCCTTCAGGTAGTTAATATAAATAATTCAGAAAAGCATTACTTAAAATCTGAGTAGTTTTCAGTTAGTCATATAAATTTATTAAAACATTAATTAGTATATCTCATGACATTTATATTGAACACTGTAGTTAGAATAAAATCTTCAAACATTAAGTTGTAGTTAATCATAATTTATCTTTATCACTGGCTTTTTCTTTTTTTTTCTTTTTTTAAAATATTTACTTGTAAATTAATTGTAATTTGCCTTAAAAAGCCATAAAAATGAATCTTAAATACTAGTAATAAATCATGAATAAATGCTAAATTGTCCTTTCCACCCCCATCTGTGTTGATGAAAATGGTTTCTAATTCACCCCATATTCTGGGATGATGACGAACATTGTAATAAAGAGAAAGAAAATGGCCAAGATTGATATTAACAATAAAAATAATCTTCACTAAATATGTCTATTACTAATTACCTTTTGTATCTTGACAAACTAATGTTTTTATTTTGTATTTCCTTTTAACTAGAAAAATTTTTTCAGTTTACATAAAGTAGAAAAGTTATCCATGTTTCATAAAATAGCAAGTTTATAACCAATCTTAGAAATTAAAAATTCTTTTTTCCTATTTTGAAATAACAAATTAAGGTTAATTTTAGATAACTTAAATATTTGTTTCTTCATAGGTTCCCTGTTGTACATAGTTTCTATAGTTTATGTATATATCAAAATGGTGTCATATTTGGAAAATGATTTTTCACTTTTGTCTAATTTGAGAAATGAAATCAAGAGACTGGTATCCAATGTTAACAAATCGAATTAAAACTGTTAAGAGATTTCTTTTTTATTCCCCAAAGTTTTAGCCTGTCAACATTATTAAATACAAAATTATAAAAGAAAAATATTAACTGGTTATAATTTTACTGTACAATAGAAAAAACCAAGTAAACAAACTAAATTCAAATTTAATTCCTAAAAACATATTATTACAAATGTCTACTCTGAATAACTTTTCAATTTGCTTTTTCTTTTTGAAAAAGTAGATGCATGAAAATTACTTACTCTACAACCACCAAAGAACTTTTGAATGTTTGTAATTTCACAGATAAAGTTGGTGTTTGTAATAAATGAAAGACTAATCCTTAAATTCAACATAAAAAATAATAAAAAATATAATTTTTCTTGTTGATAAATTGATCATCTTTATTAGAAACTGTACAATGACATGAAACTTTGTAAAAAGGATAATATTTGAGGTATTTTGCAATTATAAATTTATATTAAAAAGAAGTAAATCACTTTCTGTAGTGATTCTGATTGATTTGTTAACAAATTTGGCTGATAAATCTAAACATCCCACTTGTAAATATAGATCTTGCTCATAAAAAAAAAATATTACAACAAAATGAACTTACTTATAAAAGATGAGAAACTGACTTGCCTGCTTTATGGGCTTTATGCGGCTTTTGTTAAAAGCAACAAAATTTCTGGTAAATGTTTGAAGATGTTATTTATTTTGTTACTTGTTCTATTGCTGTTTGTTCACAAGCCATATAAACCATGCAAACCTCAAAATTGGAAGCTTATTGTCATTCTGTCTCTCTTTCTCTCTCCTGTTGGTCGCTTTAAGCAGGATTGAAACACAAATTTCCTAATTTTGATTACTTGCTTATGTTGGCTTTTTTACTATGCTTTTTGTTATAAAAAGAAGGCTTTTTTAAATTTAAAATAACATTTCAATAAATAAATGAAAAATTGTAACCTATTGAATAACTAGGTGTGTGTTGACTTGTCGCTGGTTAGGAGCATGCTATTTAATTATTTGAATAACAGAAATGGGTTTCTTTTTATATGACAAGGGAAGATAAAATGCATGTTTTATTGATAAATATTTTGGCATTTATAAATCAGGTTTTTTTTTTTTTTTTTTTTTTTTGGTGGGCGGGTTGTTCTTGTTTTGTTAATGAAAATTATTAGTTAAAAATTTCCTTTCATTTCTTGCCAATGACATTGCATGACATGAAATCTTTCTAATGGTCTCTGAAGACCATTTAGTGAATGTTTTCATTTAGAATTTCTTATTCTTCATAAATTTAACTTCTACAATAATTTTCCTTTAGGGTCCATAATTTTTACAATTCATAGAACAACTAGCTGCTTATTGAATTCTTATCAAGTAACTATTAGCTTTGCAATTTTTTTCACATACTTTAATGGTAGAAGTATATACATTTTTGAAATTTTAGCTGGTGTTTTGAGAATTAATTGCTTGTCCATTCATTTTTCTATAAAAATTACAAGTGGCAAATCTTAATCCAAATTAAGATTAGCATATGGTTAAACCTTTCTATTTTCTGATTTCATATCCATCTTCCTTCAAGATGGAGTCACTTTGTGTAGATAGGAAGGATCTTGCAGCCTTTCACATTTTTTTTCTTTTTAAAATCCAAATTTAGAAAAAACAACACTTTTATGCTTTTTGTTATTTGTGACTGACAACAATATATGAATCTTTTGTAGAAAAGAAGAAAAGTATGTTTAAACAAAATTTGCTTCCAATCAAATATCTAAGAGGGTGTAAAGAACCAAGCTGATGATTAGTCAGTTGGTTACAGTCTGGAAAGTGGGTTGGGCTAAGAACTTTTCAATATCCACTTATATTTTGTTCATTTAGACTCTATTAGAATAGTTTGAATGTTTAAGTTGATACTTAAAGTATTCCTCTACTTTTCTCTCCTTTTCCCTCTCTCTCTCGCCCTGTCTCCATTTTCCCTCTCTCTCTCTCGCCCTGTCTCCATTTTCCCTCTCTCTCTCGCCCTGTCTCCATTTTCCTGTCTCCATTTTCTCTCTCGCCCTGTCTCCATTTTCCCTCTCTCTCTCTCGCCCTGTCTCCATTTTCCCTCTCTCTCTCTCGCCCTGTCTCCATTTTCCCTCTCTCTCTCTCGCCCTGTCTCCATTTTCCCTCTCTCGCCCTGTCTCCATTTTCATTTTCCTCTCGCTCTGTCTCCATTTTCCCCTCTCTCTCTCTCTCTCCATTTTCCCTCTCTCTCTCTCGCCCTGTCTCCAGTTTCCCTCTCTCTCTCTCGCCCTGTCTCCATTTTCCCCCTCTCTCTCTCGCCCTGTCTCTTTCCTTTCAGAAATTGATTTCTTCAACCTTCTATTCTAACTGTTCATTAATATAATTTCGATCTGCCAAGTCTTTGAAATAGCTTGATGCATGTAGAGTATATTTCAATGAAAACACATCTGTCAATTAGCCACTGGCTTATTTGCCTTATTAATTTTGCAACTGTTTGTTGAAGTTTACAGTATGTATTCAAATGTTGAGCCATTAGGAAAACTTGTAATGAAAGATAGTTCTCCATATAGCTGTACATGACACTTTTTTTTAATTATTATATAGGACAATCTTAATTTACAATTGTTGTGCATTGTAGGTGGGATTCGTATTTGGCTTTTCATCCAATTATTGAAAAAGAATCTTGGATTTTTAATCAGCATTACCAATCGTGTACAATTTCTTGAAATCAATTGTTTTTGATTTTGGTTACCACCTAAAGTGCACTTAGAACTACTGCTACAATATTTTTTATGTTCAAAGATGGATTGTAAACATCAAAATTATTGTGTGTATATATATATATTTATATATATATATATATAAAGAAACTGATGGAAAATAAAATTGCTACACTTTGAATATATTTCCCTTTACCCAATGTAAAAAAAAAATACAGGTAATCTAGCTCAATTACTGAAAGTGATCATATATACAGATTAATACATGCACAGGTTCCAAAATAAGGGGGTGTATAAACAATGTGTAGACTCCATGTTAATAAATTGTATATTGTCTTCAGGAATATTCTGACAAGCAGGCAATTGTAAGGATAACAAATACCATTCCATGATATTTTATTCTATGTCTTTTGCACCTGGGGACATAGGCCACCTTCAAATTTTGTTGGGCTAACTGAATGAGTCGGGTATTGTTCCATACATATTTGATTGCGGGGGGGGTGGGTGATCTGGCAACGATGTAAGCCAGGAAAATTGTTAAGCAGAGCATATAGAGTAGTAGACCTTCCTGTTGCAAGATTCAATGTTCCCACTCCAAGGACTGAAGATAAGTGAACATTGTAACTGGTGACACCTCACATCATCATTTTGAATGCTTTGAAAAAGTTTTAAGAGCTCATATTTTTCACATTTATATAGCAGTTAAATTTAATGCTTTTTTTTTAAATGGCTGCTGTAGTTCAACTTTTAATATTTGTCATTGAAAAAAAAATTCTGTGAATTCTTTGTATTTGATTTTCTGTGTCAGGTTTGTGTCTTGATTTGTTCATTTTAAAATCATTTGAAAGTTTTTATTCTTTTCTTGTTGAAATTCACTCAATTTCTTTCTTTCTTTCTTTTTTTTTTTTTTTTTTTTTTTTACTTCATTCTAATCATTTTTTAATATTTAAAACTTTACTGATCCCTAAGTGCAATTTTGCATTTCTTTTTGTTGTTACAATTAATATTGTCATTACATTTTACTAATTCTTTCCAACTTTGGTGTTTGGTGCACTACTGAACCATAAAACAAAAAATTGCTTTATCATTATTTATATAAGCATGAGTTTGGCAAAGGTTTTCAAAACTGTTACTAATTCTTTTATATATTTAACTAATAAAATTTTGTTGATAAATTTTAAATGTTTTAAGTTTAACTTTCTTTCACACCAAAACTTTCAAATTTATGCATTGAAAATACTTTCTAAATAAATTGTTAAACTTTTGATTAAAACAAGTTTTTTGGCACTGGATAATAAAAACAAAGTTGTGTAGGGTTGAAAAAAGTCTTAAGACTTTTTTCAGTAATACAAATCTATATATTTAATATCGTTTAGCTTATAAGTCAAAAAGGCATATAGTTAGTAGAAAACTTTGAATATATCTACAAAAGACCCAGATTTATTACCTTTTTGTTTTCTTGTAAATTTTTTATATTATGGAATTGCAATTTCAAAATTGATGTCTTTTTTTTTTTTTTCTTTGCTGATATTCTCAGCTTCCTCATCGTATCAAAGTATCAAAACCAGCAAGAGAGGTGAAGGATAATTTTGATATTTACTACAGTTGGATAAAGATACAATCAGCTCGGTTGTCAGATGGAGGAAAGTATACATGTGGTGTTGAAAGTTTTTCTCTACACCTTGCAGAAATTGAAATAAAAGTTTATGGTAAGTTTGTTTCATTTTCTCTTCTCCAATTACCTTGCCTTTTTTTAAATTATAATATTTTATTTTATTTTACAAGTGAGCTTGTGTTACAACACAATCTTACAGATGTTCAATCTTTTTCATAAAGTGGATATAAAAGTCTTGATTTTCCAGAAAATGTAAATCTTATGTTTTCACTGCTTTACTTGTTAATTGCTAAATGATGTTAATTAATATTTGTCCTTCATACAGTGATTTAATTAATACCTTATTCCCAGTAATACTATTTAGTTTCTGGAGAATCTCCTTTGTTCTATTTTTGGTTGACTCATTTTTTTTCTTAAAATTAAGAGCATGAATTTGCACATCTCATGTATGGAAATGACAATGGAACAGTTGAAGTGAAAGAAGGTGAAGAGAAAGTTTATCTTATGGTCAGTTTGGAGGCCTATCCAACACCGACTGTGATCTGGTTCAAAGATGGTGTTCGAATCCATAAGACTGATCTAAAGTATGAAATAAGGTAAGCAAACTTTTTGCAAATTTTCTTCCATATTTATAGAATTTGTTTTCAGTTTTTAATAAGTTGGTTAATGGTTTTTTTAGTGTCATTGGATTTGAAGTAAAAATCTTTATTAACCCGTTAAGCCCTGCATTTCTGAACAATTTTAATCCTTCTGACTGAGCTCCTGAACCAAAATTTGCAAATAATTGGTATGTAATGTTGCAAGGTATACAAGTGTTTACCCACCATTCAACTGGTGGCTATGCATTAAGTCATTTTTCTCTACCACTGGTAAAGCAGTGGTCAGGGCTCAAAGGGTTAAAAGACTTTGTACATGATAAAAGGAACATGTTAATGAGTTTTAGTATTAAACAATGTTATTTACTTTTCAATATTCCTACTCCTCACCAGCCAAGTTTTATTGAATGTGTCTAAATTTTTCTTTTAATATATATATATATATATATATATATATATATACACTTCAATTCCTAATTTGAAGTTGTTTGAATTTTGTTTTTCATGTTTTTCTCTTCAACTTTATTGTTGCTTTTTATAGCAAGGTTCAAGTCAGTTTAAAATTTTGTGGCTATTATATAAGCAGCATGAATTGAGAAAAGTAAACTTTGCTATTTGCTTAACAGTCAAAGGATGTAAAATGACCAGATCATTGTTATCTATTTAGCATTCTGGTTTAAATAAACAAAAAACAAACAAACAAAATCTGTATGATTTTAATGATAAACTTTGAACTATAAACAGTATTTAATTATATTTACCTTGATTTTTATTTTATTTTCTGAGTCAAAATATTGTAAAATATTTGGTCTGAGTGAACTAAGAATGGTACAGTATTTTTGAATATTAAGACTATTTTCTGCATTTTGAAATAAAAGTTTAAATTTCATGTAGATATGTTGCCTTTATTTGTAACTAAATAGTATACTATCTTAGAAAGTGGAGGTTTTTACACTTTATATTCTTGCTTTGTTGCTGATTAGTGATAAATTTCATCAAATATATAATGCTACTTACATATGTCTGACCGAATGTTGTATATCATTGAAATATGAAGTTCAGTGTGAGGCTACTCTTGCACAATAAAGGTTAGGAATACAGAAATGCCAAAAACTGAAAAATATCTTTCAGTTATATACACACGCACACAGAGATACATGTGTCATCAGATATTGGAAAGTGAATGTTGATGAAAACTTTTCAGCACCTTATGTGTGTGTGTATAACTTGTCAGTGTCTTTGATGGTGGTGGAAGACGGAGGCAAGGTGCTATTAATTGCCTAAATCTACTATCCTTAGCTATAATAGGAAACCTTCTCCTCCTAGAGGAAAGCTGAAGAATTAATCTAACCAAATATTGTGATTATCCAGTGTTTTAAAGATTTTTCTGTCTTGATGACCTGGCCATTAAGACAAAAGCAAACAATATACTTAGCTTCAGGTGATTATTCCCAACTGCCACATTCGTCAGGCAGCACCTATCCCATTGCGGTTAGAGAAGGAAGACGGTCAATCCCAATGCCTGAGGTGTCCTGCTGAGGGGAAAAGATCAATGTTTGTTGGCAATCCCATGTCCACATGATTTACACTTGTGCAATATTCTGTTCAAGTGCAGGTAAATGCTTTTTTGCACATACCTGGTGAATTCATTTCCCTTACTAACATTATTCCTGAAATGTGTTGTTTGCCTGCTTCACCTTCAACAATATGTTATCTAGAAATAAACTTGTATGCTGAACTTGTGAACAGGTTTTAAGTTAAATGTTTTTCACCAAAATTTCTGTTAATGTTTTTACATTTATATTTTTTCTTTTTTTTTCTAACTTTGTAATGATTTGAATCACATGATCAATTTAGAAATGAAGGCAAATGTCTTTTTATTGTCAAATATTGAGAATAGTTGCTCAACTAAGCTGTATTTCGAGACTATTTGACATGGACAGAACTTAATATCAATAACTTTTGTGATGAATATGCTAATTACTGTTTTATTGCAACTTTTATTATTTGAATATTTCTCGTATTTTCTTAAATTCCTTTCGGTAATTCTCACATCACTTTATTATTTCCTTTAAAAAATATTTATTAATAAGGTTGTTACTAAATTTAAATTAATCTGCTATAAAGCTATGAGTGCCCAGTGATGATTAAACTCACTGTAGTTGTAATCATTGTATAAGATTTTCTGTGTAAATTATTAAAGCCTTGAGTATTTGGAAATTTCATTTTTCTGGCTGTTAAAATATTATCTATAATTCCTAAAAAGCTCAATGTTATTTCTTTATTGAATCTTTAATGGAATTAAATTTACTCCTGAAACATGGTTAGCAATGTGGAAGATGGAATTGGTAAACCAAGTTCTGTTCTGGCTGAAGCAGTTTCTGTTCTGGCTGAAGCAGTTTGTGTTCACTTTGCACTGATGCCCTTGGGAAAGGCATGAATTTATTTTTCTAATCTCCACCTCCCTCCTGTTATAGATTAAATATCAGGTTGGACTGAGCTCTCAAACATTTCTTGGTAACCAGTCTATGAGAAGGACAACTCTGAATTAAAAAAAAAAAAAAAAAAATTAGAAAGTTACTAAAAATCAGTTCACTAACTTTTTCAAGAACAATCATAACAATTCAGTTTACAGATATTAAAAAGGAAAAGAAACTGGAGAATCATGATCACCTATGTCCTGAAGGAAGTTGTGATTAATGTTGGATATTGAAAAATGAAAAGTTACCATTGTTGAAAGGAACATTAAGTGTGTCAGTTACAAAAAAAAAAAAAATAATATTCAAGCCATAAATGTGAAGAGACTTTAATCAACAAACTTTATTAAAATTAAGATGTTACTCATGAATATACACATACACTGACATCAGGATTCATTTAGTTCAGCACTAAAGCATATTATAATTGGGATGAGTCTAAGTTGGTGTGCATGTGTTAATGAGCCCTTCATGGAAGTGGTCGAAAAGTTGCAATCCTCAATGTAAATGTTTAAGGAATCAGAATATCTTTGTGTGCCATATTTCTTTTTCTTATTTGTTGAGTTCAAATTGTCTAGAGTGGGTGTGCTTGAATCGTTTTAGTCATAACCTTTGGCAGTCAACACTTAGTCTTACTCGTCTTTTATATAAATTTTTAGGAAATTTATTTTGAAGCTTTAAAATGTATTTTTAATAATTTGTATTTTGTCTCACTTTTTTATTTATTTGTTTTTTTATCTATTTATTTCTTTCTTTTTTTTTTTTTTTTTTTTTTTTTTTACAGAATATTTGATCGTAATTTGGATTTAGTAGTTCACAATGTTGCTAGTTCAGATGGTGGTGTCTACACTGTTTGGGCCATCTCTAATGACATGAACGATACCCTCAACATTACTTTGAAAGTTTATGGTAAGTTTAATTTTTATTTTCTCTTTGTCATTTCAAGCTTAGTACAAGACATTATGCACATTGTCATAGTTTAATGGTTAACTAACTTAAACCATTTGTTATTGTGTGAGAAATTTGGTTCTCAGTATTAGACTAACCTGAGCCTCAAAAATACCTCAAAAAGACCTGCTAATATCTGCAGTCAGGAATTCATATTTCTTGCTCTTGTCTATATCAGGTTGATGTACATTGCATTATTGTAATTCGGAACTAATTATCATTAGTAATTTTTTTGGTATTAAAATTGCTCTAATTTCTAAAAATATTTTTTTCTTAATTTTTTTTTTTTTTTTTTTTTGTTACTAATTTTAAACTTTATTTTTAATTATAGTAACTTTGACTCTACAACCTTCCCTTCTTGCACACATTTAATACATGGCCAACTCAGGGTAGTTTATTTTATCTCAAATATATTGTTTGAAAAACTTTTTATTCACTTCTTTTAGGTAAACCAGTTGTGGAAATAGCCAGCTCTCCACCCTCAAAGGAATTCTTCTTGATTGACCAAAAACACACTCTGACTTGCAATGTGACCTGTAATCATGCAAACCACACAGTTTTCTGGAAATGGCAAGCCTGCAATCCTGGTAACTGCTCTTCTGATCCAGAAGCTTGGTCAGTTATTAATGAAACATCAATTGAAAAACTGGGAAATTCTGGATGTAAGTATATTTTGCTTACCAAAGTGATTAGCAGAAATTCTTCATAAAAAGAAGAGGAAAATAACTTGATATAAAACATTTGCTGAATCTGGTTCTTGTAAAATTTTAAATACCTGGGAAGTATAAATGATGAATTTAAATACTAATAAGACTTGATTTTGTTGGAAGTAGTTTGATTTTTCTGTTGTCACTAATTTCCAAAATGTTTGGCCGGCTTCCGTTTTTGAAGTTTTTTTTTTTTTTTTTTCTTTTGCAAAAAAATGTTTGTTTTTTTTTTTTTTTTTTATGTAAAGATGTAATTAACTTTGCTATTGAAATTTGATTTTTAGGTTCTGGAAATTGAGGCAGGATTTATTGGCACATGATTGGCTTTATTAAATTCTTTTGTTATTATTTTCTTAGATTTATCATTGGAATAAATTTTAAGCTTTGTTTGCTTTTAATTGCATAGCAATTTGTCTATCTGACAAGTGATAATCCTGTTTAATGTTTGACTTCCTGATGATGATTGTTGTGGATTGGAAAATACCAACTTTATTGAAATATTTACAGCTTTAGTCTCACATTGCTATCATGAAATAAGATTTAATTTGAAAAAATGAAAATGTTAAGAAACCACTTTGAATCAGTTGGTAATGAGAAAAAAATTTTGGCTTTAAGAAATTGTTTATTTTATCTAATATTGTACCCAAATTCTTGTTCTTTTATTCATTTCTGTCAATCAGTATAGAATACTGGTGATAACTGTTTTGTCATAGCAATGAAAGAACTGGATTCATGTCTTTTTTTTTTTTTTTTTTTTTAAAGGCATTAGAATAAAGGAACATGTTTTGAAATTTGTAAGCATTAATAATCATTGCAGACATTAAAATTTGGTAGACACTGAAAACTATGAATTAGGAAATTTTCTATACGAAAAAATAAAACAAATTATCCTCTGATGCTTGGAGAGAAAAAACCTAAAAACAAAACATAGAAGCTACTTTTTTTTATATAACTAAATATCTTTTGAATTTTTGTCTGTTCATTCTGTGCCAACATTTTACTAGAACAGGTGGTGTAACTTAATTTTCTTGGTGTCATTTCCACTTTACAGTAGCTTTCAAATGAAGTGGGGTTATGAGGAGGACTAGTAGTAATTTTCTCTAATTGTTACTGTTTTCCCACTATTAGCAAATACGATACTTTAATTTTTCTCTCATTAACAGCAATTAACCACTTTCCATGTGTTCATTACCTAACTTTATAAATGGAAATTATAAGTTCAACATATGTTTCTACTTTAAAGCACAAGAATCTTGAAATTGAATCCATTTAATTATTATTGGTGGTCTTAAGAAAAAGATCTTTTCTGAATGTTTATCTCAAGAAAAGGATCTTGATTTTATTTTCTTCCTGCATGTCCTTCCTATTTGATCTTAAGATTGTGTATTGGGTTGAGTCTGGGTAGGTAACATGATCATGGGAGAGTGGTTTGTTTATTTTCACTAATTTTTTGAGCCAACCATTATAGCTGGTGACAATCTTTTGCCGACACAGGAATGTAATATACAAGTAAGCAATTTGTTTCTGCTGATTCTGTTTTCCAGAATTATGCTAGATTTTATCATTTTCTTTTCAGTAAATGGAAAATCTTTACTTTGTAATAAAGATGCCATTAAATTCAATGTGCATGAATGATTATTTTTTGTGTAAGTTTTCTAAATTTTTGACTTAGTTGGATCATTTAGTGTATGGATCTTACCAAGTGAATAAGCATGGGGACTTTTTTTTTTTTTTTTTTTTTGTTATGGCTTCATGATTGGGTCAAGAACTTTCACCCCCCTCCCCCAAAAAAAGAAATATTTATAAATAATCAAGTCTCTTGCTGAAATTAATTATGTTGCCAGAGTTCTCACAGCTGTTAAGTATATGAAGATGCATCACAGGATATGTGGTGACTAAATTTTGATCTGAAATTTTTATTATATAATGTTCAATCTGATTATTCACCACTGAATAACAAAGAAAGATTGTTAAAAAATACTTGTTTCATCAAATAAATACTTTTCATCATTAGTTATGGATTTATTGATATATGGTTAAGAAGTTAGTGACTTCTATTTAGTTCCTATTACTTTTAAGACTCTTGAATGCGCAGTGTGGCAGATGACATAATTTTGCACTGTCTAAAAAGCATGTTATATCTCCTCAAATACATGTATCCACTGAATATAATGTTTAAAGTGATATCTGTTTGTGTATTTAGAGAACCAATTTATGCCTAAATTAAGTAAAACAGTTTGATTGCTTTCAATTAATTTCTACTTACAATTGTGAGAACTGAAATATACAATTTCAATCAATAATTTGGGGAGGTGGAAAGAAAATATTGAATGTCCAAATTGTCCAGTTGTTGACATCTAAAATGCTGCTCCATTTTTATAAAGTCTTTGTGAATAGTCTTTGTGAATAGTCTTTGTGAATAGTCTTTGTGAATAGTCTTTGTGAATAGTCTTTGTGAATAGTCTTTGTGAATAGTCTTTGTGAATAGTCTTTGTGAATAGTCTTTGTGAATAGTCTTTGTGAATAGTCTTTGTGAATAGTCTTTGTGAATAGTCTTTGTGAATAGTCTTTGTGAATAGTCTTTGTGAATAGTCTTTGTGAATAGTCTTTGTGAATAGTCTTTGTGAATAGTCTTTTGAATAGTCTTTGAATAGTCTTTGTGAATAGTCTTTGAATGAATAGTCTTAGTGAATATGAATAGTCTTTGTGAATATGAATAGTCTTTTGATCTTGTCTTTGTGAATGTGAATAAAAGTCTTTTTAGTCGAAAAATAGAATAGAATATGAATAGTCAGTCAATGAAGTAAAATTTCTAAAGAATATCTAAAAAATAGTCTTTGAATAGTTCATTTGAATAGTCTTTGTGAATAGTCTTTGAAATATAGTTGATCTTGTCTGTTAAAAACTTTTACGAAAAAGCAAGAAAATTACATCAATGAAGTAAAAATTTCATCTAAAAAAATACTTTGAATAGTTCATTTGATAAAAATGTGTGCAAGCCATCATAAAAATATGTCACTGTTTAAATTACTAGGTTGATTGCGTTGACAGCAGGAAACCTATAACATCTAAAATTTTAATTTAAGAATTTTTTTTATAAATCTTGTCAGCTAACCTCCTCTACATTGTAAGCTAAATTCTTTTTGAATGCAATCTTTACAGCTTCATCTCCCCAATGGTTAAGTTCTTATTTATTGTTACATCCAGCAGTTTTTCTAGGAATTAAGCTTGTGGATTTGTCAAATGACCCTTCTGGAAATAGCTTAAACTCTTTGTCAATTTATTTCTTCCTTTCTTATCCCTTGGACTGTGTGTAGACGAAGAATGTACATGACCCCAACTCTTGATTCTGTGGAATGGAAGCTGATTAAAATTTTTTCCAGTTGTTGGTTGTAACAAGAAAAGAATATTAAATGAAACTGACTCAATATTTGACTAAAAGTTTTATTCATTTATCTTTAGCAGAACTGATGATCAAATCTTGAATTTTGTTTTATTTGAAGAGCTTAACCAAAAACTTCTGATTTTTAGGGAACCCTGTCAGGTTGACAACAAAATCTTCAAGTATCAGCACTTTGGATGTGACGGCTAAAGTACAAGGAAAATACATGTGTGAGGCAACAAATCAAGAAGGAACCACAAGAAAATTTCTTAACTTCCTTCTTACAGGTAAGACATGATGAGGATGTTTTCTAATTCTTTCAAATCTATAAACAGTAAATCTTATTAAACTAAAACTTTAGCTGATTCCTTTGCCACTCTTCATAAAAATTATAGAATTAGCACATTTAGAGGATGTACACCAAGATATATATATATATATTTTTTTTTTTTATTTAGAAGTGAATAAACAAATCACAGATGAACAGCAAAACTTTTTTGTTCAATAATTGAGCATTCTGGCTTCCTAAGATATATCTTAAACTGGGTCAAATTCTCTTTATTATTCTGTTTGTTCCACTCTGAGTTAATTATTGCCTATGTATGTTACGCCCTGCCAATAACTCATAAATAATGGACTATTCTATTTTGATCATGTGGAAAGGCATATCAGAGATGCTACTTTTGGTTTCAGTGAGAAAATGAAAGAAGTGTTTAATAGCGGTTTCAGTGAAATGGAACAAGTTGTCATTTTCAAATTTTTTCATGTATGTCTTTAAAGATAGATCAGAAAATAAAAATAGGAAAACTAAAAATTATCACAGGTATTTCTAGTTTAAAGTGTAGAATTTTATTTTATTTTATTTTTTTATTTTTTTATTTTTTTTTTTTTTTTTAAACCATTTTGTGGGAAATATGCCATGTTCCAGATTGGAAGCCAAAATTGTGGAATGATCTTGACATTTGTTTTAAAAATGCAAATTACAACTGGAAACTATATGAGCAAATAGTTAAGTGAATTCTTGCTGAGGAATTCTCTTATTGGTCGGGTGTGTCTGCTAAGAAAGATAGCCAGAAAAATCATCAGTATTGGAATCAAATACTAAAGGAGTTGGACACTGGATCATGATGAGTAGGTCACAAACAAGACTTACACACAGGAACACCACACGTATAGGATGAACACAGCCGAAACACCAGAAACACAAACAAGGATGAATGAATTTCAAATGACATTGGCTAACACAGACAGAAATCCTTGATAACTCATGGCAGTCATATTATATGGTCCACATGGAATGTTGCCAGTCTGCCTCTTTCTGGAAAATGTGCTTTTATGGAGCCTGAAACTTTAGTGGTTGGCTAGCAATAGTAATCACTGCCAACACTGCTCAGCTCACTATCCCGACTATTTCATGGAGAAGCTGCTAGACACTTTCTTCATAACCAGACATCCCCAGGTTTGTACCGACTCTGTTCTGGCAGGGCAGCCATTAGCTTTCATTCTGAAGAGGCAGCACACTAAACGTCATCTCTTTGATTGACAGGGTTGGGTACCATTATCATTCACAGTAAGTTGTATTGGCCAGATAACAAATTGGTATTCACTACAGATTTCTTTATTAATAAGCTTTAAGCAAGGCTTGGATTTTTTTTCTTTTGGCAGAGAATACATACATGAGACTAGTGACTTTCATTGCTGAACTTGCCCCACCCCCGATTTCATGGTAGCACCAACATTCTTGACAATTTGGTGCTTCTTTGCTGGGTCAGTGCTTCAACACCATCTTCACCTGTCTTTAGCCACTACTGAAGATTCGTTGAATGTGCACAGTTCTATCTTGAGTTCATAGTCGTTTGAAGAGGAATTATTTGCTCTGTAGCAGAAATTTGTTTCCACATTGATTGAAGATCTATAATAGTATGTCAGGGAATAGGATGGACTGTGGACTGACGATCTCAGTCACTTTCCCTGTTGCAAATTTGGAGGTACATTGCCTCTGGGGTAGTTTCACTCGCACAATATCTCCTATCTTGTATTTACCATTCTTTATTGTTGGTTTTTATGATGGTACTGAATGAATACCTTTCAGTTTAATCTCTGGAGTAAATTGGATTGATGATTGCAGTAGTGCTTGAGGTGCAATGTTTTTTACGTGGCTCCCTGTATTGGAGAGTCATCCATTTAACAGTCCTGTGATATCTCTCTACAGTTCAAGTCCCTGATGGAATATCTATGCACTAAAAACATTGCTGGATGCCTGTTCCTCTATACAAGCCTTGAATATCCTGCTGCTGAAGGCAGTATTATTATCTACAAAAGATCTTTCTTCATCTATTCAGTGATGGATGGAGCAAATATTGATCTGTCAAGTTCACAGATCAGCTTTACGTCAAACTTGTCCATTTTTATTGATGCCAAAATTGCCTGAATTTGTCCAATTACAAGCTATCAGGTCATCCCATAAGTACTGTCTGAATTTTAACTTTTTGTTAAAATGAACGAAATTAAAAGAGTATTTTATAATGTCTAATGGAGCTGAACATTATTTTTATGTTTAGATGCATTTAAACTGATCAAATTTTATTTCAGAGAACAATAAAATTAAATTTTGTTTAATTAAAACCCTGCTAACATGGAAGTACCCAAGAATCATTTGAGGCACATAATGCTTTATGAGTTCAAGAAAGGAAACTCAGCAGCCAAAGCAGCTAGAAATATTCACTCAGTTTATGGAGAGGAATGTGTGAATGAAAGAACTTGCAGAAGATGGTTTGCAAAATTCAGAGGTGGAGATTTCACCGTTGAAGATGAAGATCGAACCGGACGTCCAGTTGAGTTTGATGAAAAGCTTCTTGAAGCAGCCCTTGAAGAAAATCCTGCTTTATCAGTTGAGGAATTGGCAGTGGTTCTCAGTTCAAACATACAACTGTTCATCGTTATCTTCAACAACTTGGAAAAGTTCCTAAACTTGGAAAATGGGTGCCTCATGAATTGTCTGAAAACAACCTCAAATCCCGAGTTGACATTTGCTCTTCTCTTCGTTCTCGCCAACTTGTTTCACCCTTTTTGGATAGACTTGTGACGAAAAATGGATCTTTTATCGAAATGTTAAGCGTTGTAGACAGTGGCTTGGTAAAGGGGAAGGACCCCAGCCAAAGCCGAGAAGGGAACTTCATGGGCAAAAGGTTCTTCTTTCAATCTGGTGGGATTGCCAAGGAATAATCCACTTTGAATTCTTACCACCTAATGCAACAATTAATGCTCAAATATACTGTCAGCAATTAGAGCGTTTGAACCAAGCTTTGAGGAAAAAAGACCTGCTCTAGTGAATTGAAAAGAGATGTTTCATCAGGACAATGCATGACCCCCCACAGCAAGAATCACGTCATAAAAGGTCGAACTTGGTTTGGAGAAAATTCCTCATCCACCTTATTCTCCCGATCTTGCTCCTTCAGACTACCATTTGTTTCGTAGCTTACAGAATCATTTGGAAGAAACAGCTTTTGTAAGACAGGAAGAAGTTAAAACTGACATTTGTGAGTTCTTCGAATCAAAGCCAAAAGAATTTTACAGTAATGGAATTAGTAAGCTTGTTAATAGATGGAAGGAAGTCATAGATAATCAGGGAAAATACATTGTTGATTGAATCTGTAATTAAATGTAACATTTGGTTACTTGTTTTCTTCATTCAAAATTCAGACAGAACTTACGGGATGTCCTGATATATCACTGATGGTCAATATTAACCCCAACACATCAACGGTGGCAACTTTGGAACAGCTAACCCACCAAAATACTCAATTCTAGTGATTTGTATAGGCATCCGAGATTTTGTCAAATAGTAAATTTGTATTTCCAGCTGATTTCTTTATTAACAAAGCTTGAGACACAGCTTGAATTACCTCTTTTAGCAGAGAATTCATGCCACATATGGGTATTTCACCAGATGAGACAAGTGATTTTCATTGCTACAGTATTTAATTGAATGGAAACATGGCTCCAACAAAAGAACTGTCAAATAAAACAATGTAAAACATTGTAAAGCTCATTCAAGAAGGCAATTCACAGTGAAGAATAGTGAAAGACATTGATTGTCCCCAGTCAGTTGTCTAAAATTTGGTGCAAATATAAAAGATATGATTGTTAAAAGAAAAAGGGGAAACATTTTGGTAAACCATGAAAAACCTCAAAGCGTGAGGATAGAAAACTCAAAGCAATAATTTGCCTTGAAAATAGGAAATATAAACCAAAATAAATGGATCAAGACAGGTGTCAATGTTTGTGACAGAAGTGAGTGAAATGGGATTTATATACAGAAAAGCCAAATGAAAAGCAGCATTAACACAAAAACAGAAGGAAATGAGGTTAAAGAGAAACAATCATAGTGTGTGGGCAATTAGATGAAAAGGATATTCAGTGATGATGCTAATTCTTTTATCCAGAGCCTTTCAAATGAAATGTGTAAATTTCCCAAGTTATTTGTGATATGGGGCTGCATATCATTTACATGATGAAGGGAGTTGACAATCATTACCTCAACAATGAATGCATATGTGTGCATTAAAATCGTGGATAATCTTCTCATTCTTTCAATAGAAAATAATTTTGGTGATAGCTTTTTTTCACAGGCTTAGGTAATGCAACTCATCACAATTTAAAGGATATTGTAGTTTTTTCTAGAAAAGCATGTAAAAATCAATATTTCCAGTGAAGAGTCCAGATCTAAATCCAATTTAAAATTTATGATGAAAATTAAAAAAAAAAAAAAAAATGTTCCATGAGAAGGTTCTGCCCACCAAAGAAGATCAGTTAATTGTCATTCAGGAAAGTTTAGAATGACTTTGATAAAGATTATTGCTTTAAATTAGTGAAATCCATCCTGAAAAGAAATAAGGCTGTCATAATGGCCTTTATGACAATCTCAACTCTATAATAAATTTCTCTTGGAAAAAAATTATACCATTAATTTAAATAATTTAATGTAGTTCGTTTAAGGTATATTTTATGAAACTAGAATGTTAATCTGTTAAATAAAGTTGTTTTGAATCTTATCTGTAATTAGTTTATTTCCTTCAAAATAAAAAAAACAAAACAAAAAAAAACAAGATGACTATCCACTAAGTGTAGGTACCTCCACGAGATCGCTAAAAAAAGAGCATAGCATGATGAAAAAGACGCCAAACTTGACGAAAACAAAATTTTATCGTCTAAATGTTTGTTATTCATTAAGAGGAAAGGTCAAAGTATTTTTTTGGGTATTTTTTCCATTTTTTAATCGTTTCCTAGCACGTCCAAAATTTTCGTTAAAAATCTAGTTTTTTTTTTTGAGTCAGCAAAATTGACCATTTTTTTTTCCATTTTAAAAAAAACTGGAAATCTGACTTTGAAATTTTTTAAATATCAATTATCATTTTTTCAAAACTTATTTTAAGAAAATCAGAAATTATAATGTTTATTTAAAATATTTTGAACCAAACTTAACTTAGCTTTTGTGCCAAAAAGATGTAATTTGAAAATAAAACAAAGCAGGTCATAAACTTTCGCGTCACTTGACATGTGATGAATGACATATTGACGGATTCCATGAGGCTAATTTGTTCTACGGAAGGAGAAAAGTGAAATAATTTACATTTACGTGAACAAATTATTTACCCCGTTATTTTTAACGAAAACTTTCAGCGGTCTAATTTCTATAATATTTCTACTATGACTTTCATAAAAAAAAACATATTTATAATAATTTCGATCATCTGTGAATAGTTCCTGAAAGTTTCATTAACATCCGATAATTATTTCTATTTTTTGCACGATTTTTTCAAATTAATGTGTGTCATACCAAAAAAAACGTGCTAAAAATTGTTATTTACTAGTTCCGCTGATACAAATAGAAACAAGGTTTTTTAATCAAAAGTTAGAATTTTCTAAAAGAAGGAAAATTTTTAAAAATAATTAAAAAAAACTTTGGTCTTTCCTCTAAATAATAACATAAGCATTTAGACAATAAAATTTTTGTTTTCGCAAGGTTGGCGTCTTTTTCATCAAGCTATGCTCTTTTTTTAGCGATTTCGTGGAGGTACCTAACTAAGTGTGTTAATTCTATAAATTTGCCAAAGTTTTGTTGTCGCATGCCTATTCGATTCACATTTTGGTAGGAACCATAAGGAAGTTTTGTTCAAACATCAAATGTTGATAAAACAAGGGAAATAATACAATTTATCCGCTGTTAATTATTTGCATCCTTTCCCTTTATTTTAATCTTAATTTTCGCTTGTTTTTCTTTTCATTTTCTTTTTTAATTTTTATATATATTTTATATACTCACATATATATCTTATATTTTTTTTGAGTATGCATTTTTTATTTTTTTAATTTTTACTAATAGTCTCCTTTCTCTAATATAACCGTATTTTCCATTTAAACATATTAAAATTGTCTTACTTGCTTTCAGATATTTAATCATTTCTATTTTCACCTGTATAATTTTTTTTTTTTTTTTCACAAATGCTTTGTTCAAATAATATCATAATTTAATAGACTATTGTCTTCATCTTTGTTGCTATTCTCATAACATTTCAGCCATTTTGTGCCACCCAGCTTTCATCAGGTGCTTCAGGCAACTTTGAACTGAATCCTTTATTCAATCTACAGGCATAGATTGTTCAAATTCCACTAGGGGTTTTTAGGGGTATTGTCTTGTTCTGCTCTGTTATGGCTCTTTTCATTTGCCATGGGAGAGTAACTAGAGTGGATTAAAGCATTGCTTCATGAATTTGGTAATGTAGCAGTTGTGAGTTCAATTCCTTATTGAGCAAACTTGGACTCAGTGGAAACAGGGTAAGCAATAACTGAGCAGACAGTATTGAACACTATGATAACAACAACAAAGATGAGGACAATTGTCTGAATGTAAATAATTCCTCATTCCAAAAATTCAAAGAGAAACTACCAAATCTTAAATATTGTAAATTTTTATGGCTTATTTTCTAATCAATAAAAATGATTTTTGCTTTGTAAATATTTAAAATGATTCCTTAATTAATTTTTTTTTTTTTTTTTTTTTTTTTCCAAGATTATCAGAATGGATTTAAATTTTGGTCATGTAATGAAAGACCGACAGAAGGTGATGAAGTAAAATTAACTTGCAGTGCCAATCTCTGGAAATACACGGATATGAGCATGTCATATGAAAAATCTTCTGATATGCTTCGTATTCCTGCCACTTCAACTAGTTTGACTCATTTGGCATTTCCATTAAATGCAACTTGGTAAGTTAGTGCTTTTGAATTTGATGTCTTAAATATTTTGTGATTTTTTTTTGGGGGGGGGTCTTATAACTAAATTTTTCTTGGTGTGTATGATTGTTAATGTTCTACCAGTCCTTGTTTGTAGTTGTTTAAGATGAAAAGAAATGTGATTTCTTTGCGTATATGTGAGAAAAAAAGAAGCAAGTGAGAAAGTCAGGAAGGAAAGTGTACATGTCACACAGGCGAGGAAGATAGGTGAATGAGTAAGGGAATTTCTTTTAAGCCATGCGCATCATAAACTGTTGGTATTCCTTCTTACTTGCTTGTCTGGTTTAGAAACTTTGCTTATATACCCTTCAAAGAGATCACAAAGCATGTTTTTTTTTTTATTGTTGGTGGGAATGCAACCCATTGGTTGGAAAATGTTAAATATTTATTTTCAAAGCATTAATTTATTAACTGGAAAATGCACAATTCTCCAACTCAGAAACCATTTTTTTGTCATTTGGTGTTTAACTGTCTTGGTGTTTTTCTGTCTTCACTTGACATTCTCCTTGTAGAAAATTTGAAAGCCATTTATTTCTCTTGTACCAATGTTTATTTGATTTCTTTCTCTTCATCTGCTGGGGTTGCCCATACTGATTTTGATTTTCTTTGATTTTTAAAAACAAAAATGTCTTAAATCACATACTAGTATTTTACACAATTTTGATGAATCTTTTAGTTCTTTCGTTTTTTTTCATTTGAAATTGTTAATTTAAAAAAAAATTCACTGGCTAAAGATTTTTCTGTTTTGTTATAATGGTGACACATTTAATTATTTTTGACTAAAAACAAAAATTCCTGTTTTATCATACTGTTCTTATTTACATATAATACATAAATTCTAAGCAATATATAAACTCTGAAACCTGATCCTTATTCTAGAAAGGTAGAACATGTATTTACTTGCACCCACACTGATGCAAAATTCAACTCAACAGCAGTTGGTAAATGTAGGTATTATTTTAATACTTATGTGATATGTAATTTGACACAATGTTATTTTGATATGCAGTTTGCAAAAGTGTAATTGGTATATCAGTGTTAATCTCAGGTCTTAGGGAATGCCTTGACTTTGTATGAAGGTGTGTCAGTACTTATCTTATTACTATGGTATCCTCAAAACTTGCATCTCTCAGAACCAAACTGTTTGTACTTTTTTTTTCTAATTGTTTCTCTTAATACAGTATTAAATATTTACAATATGGACTGTATTTTTTGGTAGTGGAAAGTAAACTAAAATAGTATTTCATAGTTGGGTGATATATTTTAGAAAACTTCTTTCCTCCCCTCGCATAACAAATATAGCAGTAAAATTGTTAACACCTCAATCTTTTCTGTTTATTTTCAGGGGAGTCAAACTGAAAACCATCTCAAAAATGTAAGTTTCAACCAATATTTGCCTAGATTATTTATTTAGATTTTATGTAGATTATATTTAGTTTATAAATTTGGATTAATTTTTATTATGTTTAATTCAAAGAATCTCATTAGAAAAAAGATGACTTCATTAAACCCTATTTTCTTTAACGGTTTTAAAAATGAAAATTTCCTATTTAAAACAATTTTGGGAAAATAATTACTTTGGCAATATAATCCCTTTCACTTAATCAATCTCTCATCCTGAGGCAACTAAATGCCATTAAATGCAATTAATGCCAAACTGTTTGGTTCATTCAGAGGTGCTTGCTGTTGTTTTTTTATTTTATTTCTTTTTTTTAATTGGTTATTAATTGAATTTGTTATATTTGCTTGCTTTCTTAGCTGTTGTTCTAAAATACATTTTATTAATTATTTTTTAAAATCTGTTAGGACCAACTATTCAAGGGTACTGTCAAAAACATTTGACTCTATTCAACTTGGTGATTCTGGTATCTATTATTGTGTTGTAAACTTGTCAAATAAAGTTGAAGAAAAGGTCATTCATCTCAAAGTGAGCAGTGAGTATCATTATATTTTATTTTTTATTTTGTTTATTGTACATGTCTTCAGACTTTGAAATGTTGGCATGTTTATTTTAATTTGTGTATTTTATTTTTTTCTTATAACGGTTTATATAAAAGGTATGATTCATTAAACAAATGTCAAAACTTTGATTTTAATGATGCATAATGTTAATTCTGGGTCTATGAGGTGAGGATATTAGTCAGAATCTGTTTCTATTAGTCTCAACACTTGATTTTGTTTTTCTGAGTGCTCAATTGTGCATGTATTGCAAATAGTAAGGAAAGGGATTGTCAGTGGTCAGGAATTAAAGCACAAGGTGAAAAAGTCTAAATCCAGTCTCACAAATCCAAAAGGCAGGAAAGATGAGTCGTATGGAAATCAGAAATCACAAGTCCAATGTCAAAAGTCCAAGAGGCAAAATTAAATAGGGTAAAAAAAATCCAAGTCAGATTCTAACACAGCAAATTCATTCTTGCTCATGAACCAAAAAATATGCTCTCCACATCAAGAAAAGCAACAGCTTTTATTGAAGAGATAAATTTTTCAGTTGATCACATTAGTCAGGTTGGATAAAAAAAAATATATGTGAGGCAGTAATTAGCTTGGAATTTTTTTTTTTTTTTTTTCGGCAACCTATGAGCAGGATACAAACTCTTTCGTGGTAAGTGATTTTCCCATTTACCATTCCCGTCTTGTCACACAGGTGACAACTAAGGGCAGGCCTATTGAGTCTTTTGCTTCTTCTCAGTGGAACAATCACTGTCTCTCCTCTAGATGATTCACCTCTCACCTCGTGGAGAGTCATCAGGCTAAGAGTCGCTTGCTTCCAAGGATGTATCAGAGGCATCTCCAATATTGACTAGTCTATCACTTTCTGAGGAGATGCTGCTGATATCACTTGCTGACTTGTTTGGACTGACAAAAGGATGCAGGTCTTTTTACGTGATGTGTTATCCTATCAATGAGAATTGTGTGGGCTATTGATCCCAGTCACATGTCCTACTTGATATTGAGTTGTACATTATCCTTGTTGGGGATTTACCCATCCATGGTATCCTAAGTTGTACATCAGTTGTCTGCACTCTTGTTCTGGTGGAAGTGTTGTGTCAGTGCCTTATACATGGACTTGGTAGTGGTAGATCTTATTGGTAGGTGCAGTGGTAGGTGATATTTATCATCTTTTAGTGTGACATTGTGCCAATACATAGCCTCCATTATTGAGCATTGTTTCCATGCAGCAATTCATTTGACACTGTGATGACATCATTCAGCTATTCCATTGCCAGAGGGGATGTATTTGCAGCAAAAATAAATGTGGACCTCCCACTCTTCCAAAAAATATTTTGCTGTGAAATCTGGTGTCATTTCCTGGTGAGTATTTCAGCAGGAGGACCCAATTCAAAAAATAGGGCCTTTTAAATGGGTGATCATGCTAGCTGAATCTTGCCGATGCAGTCGTTGTCAAATAATGACTCTGGTGGGACCACAGTCTCATAACATCAGTTAATGTCTACCATTGTAATGAGTAATGTTTGTAATTGCAACGAGTAATGTTTATTATCCCCACACGATAGTAAAAACTTGTTGGTAGACTGGAGAATTAGAATCTCCATGTTCCATCTTTGAGTGACTTAACAATATTTCAGTGCTATTTATTGTGCATGTTTCTTATCTACTACTAAAAAAAAAAAATGAGAGGATTATATATGGATCAACGTAATATCTGTTCCCTCTGCTCCCTAGCAATTCAGAATATGGACACAGATTGCGATTTTGACAATTATCAACTTAAACCCAAATTGTCAATCTTCTTTCAGTTTTATTTTCTCTTAAATAACATTGAAGTTAACTTGATTGTTATTTCTCTTTTACAGAGATGTCTCCCCCTGTGTTTGAAAGCAAAATTGAAGGCACCTTACATGCCAGTGTGAATATGTCTCTGCCACTGACTTGCGATGTATCTGGGAGGCCAACACCTGTGGTTCAATGGTTCTTTAACAATGAACTCATTTTGATAAACAACACTTTAGGAGTAAGGATAGAAAACAAAGGCCACCAGTAAGTAAAATATTTATTGAAATATTTTAAAATAAATGCTTAACAGAATGTACACACACACACACACACATATATTGCAGTAGAAACAAACAGTTGAAATGTTTTGAATTTACAAAAACACATACATACTCACAAACAACTTGTTTGAAGATGTTCTCAGATTTGGGAAAATAAAAACTATTTGAAAGAAAATTTTGGTATTTTTCTAAATCAATTTTCTAAAGTTAGCAAGAAATTAATCTATGAACTCAAAAGAATCACAACAAAAACTAATTGACATGATATGTCTAAATTATTTAACAATTCTTTTTGAATATATATTTATATATATATCTTGTGTTTTATTGGTGTATAAATAAGTTTTTAATTTCTTTTGTTTTTCAAAGTGAATACAATTGAAAATGGTTAATATTGTTTGTTTTCAAAGAATTTGTCTTTGGTAATACAGGGTGCAGCAAAAATACCTTTGACATATACCCTCCCCACTAAATACACATAATGCTAAGACATTATGTCAGTATATGTAGGAACTATTTCCGCTGCACGCTGTATATGCAAATAATATTCTATTTATTAAACAACATAAAAACATTCTGTATATCCCCTTTTGAAAAAAGTGATAATACTATTATCACATTTGATTTCTTTATCCAAAAGTTATTTTATGTGGGGTTAGAATTTTCCAGACTATTTTTATGAATTCTGCAAAAGGATTCAAATTCAGGTTTGTCTATAGAAAACTAACTTTCGGATTTTTTTATTTTAGAATATTCTTAATTTGGAACTGCCATTGTCAAATAATTATTGGTAAAATATCTTTATTTAGAGTTTGTTCTTAACAAGCTTTCAATGTTCAAACTCCTGAAATTACTTTATACTTCTTATAAGTAAATAAATTTCCTGTTTATTGAAGTAAAAGAAATTCTTTTAGGAAAAGGAAGTGTTTTATGAAAGACAAAGGAATAAGCAAATTGTTTATTTCTGAAAATTTTCATTATTTTGCTTATGTTTCTTTTCTTAAAGTATAAATTAGTTTACATTATCTTAAGCTGAAAATTAAAAATTAATCTCTTCTCAGTAATAAATCAAATGTTAGATTCATAAAGAAATGCCAGTTTTTTTTAAAAAATGTCCGATGAAGTCAGAATGGTTCAAGTATTTTGAATGTTTAATTTCAAATGTTATAAGTTCCTTACTATTTTTATATATTGATATATTTGGGTGAATGTCTGCATGGTGCCTGCTGTCTCAGTGAGTGTCTCCATGTTAGTTGTTGTCAGGGCAAGTATCCCTCATTTTGTCTGACATCATCTGAGTATTTTGATCATTATATTATCAAGTCATATTCAATCCCTGAGTGAAGCAGTGAATGTTTAGTGGCTTTTTTTTTTTTTTTTTTTTTTTTTTTTTATAGCTCTCTATTATAATTAATACTAAATTTTAATTTTAATTTTTATAATTAATACTGGAATTTGTGACAGACATAAATGAATTAAGTATAAGGCAACAACACAAAATCTGTTGTAAGTGTAGAAAAATCACGTAAATTTTTATCTTGTTTTTTGTCTCTGGTTTATAAGATTTTTGCAGTTTAAAGCCAAAAAATAAACTGAAGTTTGGTGTCTGGGGATTAGTTTCCCAAGCAGTACCTCCCAGTTATGTTTTAATGTCTGCAGCAAAAGTTAAAATTTTGACTTATGTGTTGTAAACAGGAAAAAAAAAAAATAATAGTGGGTGGAATAAAACTCAACCAGGTTCCCTATTTTTTTTCATGTGTTGGGGGAAGAGGAGTTTGGTATATGATAATGTTGGCGTCATAGTTTATAGCATTTGATTTCTTTTAAAGTCCACTGAAATTGAAACACAAAAATATTTTCTTTTCTCTTAGGTTGGTCATTCCAAGAACAATGCCAGAACATTCTGGTGTTTATATGTGTACTGCAAAGAACAGGGCCGGATCTTTGTTTGCAAACGCAACAGTCATTGTCGGAAGTGAGTAGTTGAATTTTGTTTTCAGTAAAACTGAATTTTAATTTTGGATTACAAAATTGTGCTTTTTATTTTTAGTAAGGACCTTATCTTCAAAAAATTCTTACAATCTAAAAATAATTTCTGGATTTAAATAACCTTCAAAAAGTTAAGTCATAAAAAACAATCAATTTAATAAGTGTGCTTATTAAGGAAAATGTAATTTTGTTTTGCATTTTAAAATTGTTAAATCACTTGAGTAGTTAAATGAGATTTAAGGATAGCTTTGTAAGTTGTGCAAATTAGTTTTGTTTTTAAAAAGGTAAGTATTTCCTTTTTTTTTTGTTTTTTATTAATCTTTACAGTGTTTTTGGTTGAGGGGTGGGAAAAGAATTTCTCTACGGAAAAACAACCATGAATCTTTTAAAAAAGTTTAAGATGATTTTAACTCTTAATATTTTTTCTTTTCTTGTGTGTCTTATTAAATATTACAATGTTTTTTTTTTGTTATTCTGGAGCAGAAATAAGAAGAGATGAGATTATGTTGGCTGTCGGGGTTGCTGCGGGTGTTTTCATTATCAGTTTGGCAATTATTTGCTTTGTAATCAAGAAAATAAAGAACAAACATGTAAGTACTCTTCTGTAGTTATCTTAGACTTTTGGAAAGCTTTGTTATAATTGGATGGGACATTTTCGCTGCAATTTCCAGGGGTGGAGTCATATTTGAAATAGCAATTTTTTTTTCAGTAGGAAAAAAGAAAAAAGTGTTTGCCAGTTATGTCTGCTGCTTTTGAATTGTTTAAAAATGAATTCCTTTTGAAGTACTTTCAAGTCAAAAAGGTCGTTTGTCATTTTACTATTGTAGAAAAACTATCCTCTCTCAATGTTAGTTTATGGCATAAGAATAGAAAAATACTGGATTGTGTTATTTCTTTTTTGTCATTGAAAAAGATCTTCAAACAAGTTTTAAGTATTTTTGCATTGATTAATAATATTTATTTTATTATTCTAAGTATGATTGAGATTCAAATGCAAATTATTTTGCTTCTAATTTTTGTTCTAATATAAAATGCAATGTGAGAAAATATTTATCCTTCTACTCCTAATTAGGAAGTTATGCCTTTGTTATGGTAACATGATGTCAATAAGAAAATCTGCCTAGTGTTACCATAACAACGGAATATCTAATTAGTAGTAATAAGTTGCTAATAGAATTTTGTCATTTTTGCTGTGTTACTAAAACTCAATTGCAACATTATTTAAATTTCATTTTTTATGGTACAGATAAAATAGTACACATCTAATAATGTTTTCATCAGTTTATTCCTGGTGTTTTTTTTGTTTTTTTTAATTTAAAATTGCTTATTTTTATTTCTTATTTTGAGAAATATTTCATATATTCATGCAGAATGGCTTTTATTGTAGTCAATGGTTTGTAATAAGGAACAATGAAAACTCACACATAAAATTCAAATATCTATCATTTATTTTATTTTTTAAATCTGTGTTGTTTCCACCCTCCTGTCAGAATTTGTCATTCTATAAATTAATGAATGAAAATTGTCTTTGTTGGCAAAATCTTGCTGTTGATATCACAGGTTGCATAAACAGCTTATTATTGGAAAAATTTACTTAATAATTGAATAACGAACAGATAATTACACTGATGTGTCATGAAACACTTTTTTGTATAAATAACAAAAAATGCTTATTTTTTTAAACATTTCAGCAATAATAACTTATATAATAAGTAAATCTGTGCAAATAAATAAACCTGTCATATGTCTCCTATCTGTGCCCCCACCCCCCAACTTCCAAAGGGCGAACATTTTATTTTATAGATATTATCTTATTTACTTCAAAGTGAGATTTTATCTCTTTAATTTTACTGCAAAATGTCAAGCCTCCTTTCCATCTGTACCTTTTTAAAAATTGAAAGACTTCTTACATGTCATTTTGGGCGGAAGGCATAAACAAATTGAAAATACTGAATTTTTTTTTTTGTTTTTTTTTATGTGTACAAAATTTATATTTGTTTTTTTTATTATAAAATTACTGATTATTTTTTTTGTTTTTTTTTTTATTTCTTAGCATTTTGATGACCTGGAAAAACAACTTGTGGTTCCCAAGGGAGATTATAATCCAGACATTCCAATTGTTGAACAAACATCTTGCCTTCCATATGATTCCCGGTGGGAATTTCCTAAAGAACGTCTCCACTTAGGTAAATAAAATATATTTGGTAAAACTTGTATGTTACAGATTACTGTGAAAAGTCAGTATAAATGGTAAATATATGCATAGATTATCTGCTTCTATTATAAGTCAACATTGGTAGAGTTTTGTTTATTGATTCTAACACTGAAGAAAAAAAAAAAAGCAATATTTTCAATATATTATGCTTTTTATATTTCAAGGTAAAAATATGACTAACAAGAAAAACTTGTTGAGTTTGTAGAGAAGTTACAGGGAATGATCAAATATATAAAAAGTGGTTTACAAAGTTTCTTGTTGAACAATGGTCTCTGTTGATGCAAACCAGTTGAGGTTAATAGCATTACTTGAGAATAATCGTCATTTTAAGATGTGGACAGAAAAATCCAAACTGATTTTCATGATACATCATGTTTTAGACAGACTTGTAGTTTTTGCTATGAAGCATGATTTTGTATTTTATTAGTTCAGCATTCATTGTTTATCTTGCATATTTAGAGCTACTCTATCTTTACTGCTTTAGCATTTGTCCAAGGATGACCAAAGTGCAGCTTTTAAGCCATATGAGGCTCTTTGATTTTTAATATGCAGCTTGTGGGAATATGTTGGCTGAGCTCATTTTTTTCATAACAGTTCAGTTCATATAAATGGTAAATAAGAAAAAAAATTAAGCTTTATAATCATTTGCTAGGTATGAATTATGACCCCATTTGATTAAAATGTAAGTTAATGTGTATGTAACAAAATCATACATGTAAATTTGGTTCTTGACTTGTGGCTCTCAAACATCTGAACTTTATCATATGTTGATGCCTTAGCTCTATGCTAATTAGGCTGTCATTTTACAGTTTTCCTTATTGTTGGAAAGTTTTAAGAACCTTCCTTAATTAAATAATTATAAATGATAATCACTTAAAACCTATAATAAATGTTCTGAATATGTTTTTTTTCTTTCTCAGGTATGATTCTTGGACAAGGAGCTTTTGGTAGAGTAGTGAAAGCTGAAGCCATTGGTATTCAAGATGATGATGATGTTACAACTGTTGCTGTTAAAATGGTCAAAGGTGTGTCTACATTGGTTTTCATTTTTTTTTTTTTTTTTTTTTTTTTTCAACCTTTTTAAACTCTTAAAGTGATTTTCAAATTTGCTTGAATAGTTTAGACCAGAGAATCCTAAACATTATTTGTTTATAGTAACATCATTTGTTGTGTGACAAGTTTTGTTAGTCAAGCCAGGTATATAAAAAGAAATAATTCAATGAAAAATTTAGTTGAGAATTGTATAAAGAACAGATAATTACTCTGATGTGTCTTGATGCACTTATTTGTGTAAATAACAAAAAACTATTTAAAGATGTTTACTCTCATGAAGTATCAATTTTAAAAAATTGAATTCTTTAGTTTTTCATTATTTTGTGGAAATCAGCAAATTTTTTTTTAAAAAGACTCTTTTGTTTACTCTTTCAGATTGCACTGACCGTGAACAAATGCAAGCTTTATTGTCTGAACTGAAAATTTTAATTCACATTGGGCAACATTTAAACATTGTCAACCTCTTGGGAGCCGTGACTAAAAATATTCGTTATGGTAATTATTTCTTTTTATTTCAAATCAAAAATGTAAAAAATCTGATCATAATATTTGTAAACTGAGATTGTAGCTTAGTTGTTATTTTATTCCAAAGCATAAAATTATTTGATTGCTTGGAAAAAAGTTTATTTTATTTAAGCTGGAATAAAAATACAATCTTATGATTTCCCAAATTGAACAAAGGCACTGAATGGAGAATTTTCTAAGTTACCTTGAAAATGTACAATTCATTTACCCTCCATCACATATGCCTATGCGAGTCTGTTTTTTCCCTTTCAATATTTGCAGTGCAATTCTTGTTCTCTTATAGAAATGCAGTTTGTCAGGTTATATTTATATAGGTAAGCATGAAGTATTAATCATATATTTTAAAGTAAATCTTTTCAATAGTGTTTACTGCAATGGAGAATAGGAACTGGTCTGTAGATATGTAAAAGGGAATAAGAATTCTATCTGAATGCTTCTGACAGAAGGTCTAATATTTAAAATGTTTTTTTTTTTTTTTTTTTTTTTTTTTTTAAAACAGGTGAGTTGTATGTAATGGTAGAATATTGTCACATTGGGAACCTCCGCAATTATCTTCTGAGGAATAAAGACTACTTTGTCGATACAATGGAGGATGAGCTTGAACCAGGAATGGAGAAGAAGCGCCTATCTGATTTTGCCTCCTCTAAGCCACATTACGTAAACAAAGCGCAACCAGAAAGTACAGCTGAACCTAACCGTCCACTCACTACTAAGACTCTGATTTGTTATGCTTATCAAGTTGCCCGGGGTATGGAATATTTGGCTTGTAAGAAGGTTGGTATATTATCATTAATGTCCTCTTTCCCTACCACCAAATTAAACCATTCCTCTTTTATAGGTTATTGTATAATTTAGAAAAAACACAAGGAAGTTTAAAATTTCTTATATTTTGCATATTGATCATGGTTTTGTTTGAAAAACAGCAACAACATAATTTCTTACAAAGTGAAACTTTCCTTAATAACAGAACAGGTTTGTCATTAAACAACTGAGAATTAAAATACAAGACTAAATACTTTATGCAAATAGCATTTTCCTGATCTCTAAAACTTCTATGGTAAAATGGATTTTCATATTATAAATAGATATACAATTTAAAAAAAATATGAAATGAAAACAAAACCAAGCTATTTAGATATTCATTAAATTTTTACCTAAAAGATAAAACTTTAATCTCAGCATTTGTAGAAAGATTGAAACAAAATTTGTTTTACTGTATATGTATTAAATTTATAATGAAATTTCTTTCCATTCACTTTTATTCATTTTTTGTCAGACATTGGATCTGATTTGCATAACTTTAATTTATACAAATTAATTTTTTTCATTTGATGCCAGAGAAACACATCTCATGTAAATGGAAGCTTAGGGGGAAAATAAAATTTCTTAAACTAAGTGAAAACTACATATTGAATTATACTATTTCCAAATAATGGTGCAAACATTTCTGATTTCTTAAGTTAGATTCTGAGTAGATTTTACTTTTATTCATGAAATTTTGAAAATCCACAAAGATATTGAAATTTGGTTAACTTCAAGGGCAGAATAATGAATCCAGCCTGTCTTTTGTCAATTTGGTAAGAAAATGAGTTTGAGGAAATTCAGCTAATGTCATTGCTTGTGTGTATGGGGTGGGTGGTCATTTAAAATGAAAGTCAAGCCAAAAACAGCAATCATAGATGAAGTTTTTTTTTTTCACTGGTTAACTGTTGACCTTTTGTTTGGGCATAAAACTTGCATGTTTATATCATTAATAAATATATATATATATATATATATATATATATATATATATATATATATATATATATATACCTTTGTAAATTTTATGATAACCAGACATTTATCAAAGGATTTTTGCTTTAAATTTGAACATTTTCCAAAAGTATTTCAGTTTCATCAGGCAATTTTCTCTGACAATTAAAATCTTGGTAAATCCAAATTGTGGAGATTGTGCAAGATAATTATTGGTAGAGTAAACCAAACATTGAAATAATTAGAATTTTAGATATGGCTGTTTATGTTTACATGAAATCAATCCTCTTGGTAAAAGGCTTGAAACTCACCGTTTCCTGTACTTACTGTCATCATCATTTATTGAAATGTTTTATTACATGATTCTATGGTTAAGTGGGTGAATGAGTGCTTGGACAAACAACTTGTTGAAAAAGCTGTTTTACTCATAGTTAACCTAGACAGATTGAATAATTCAATATTATTAACTTTGGATTGTTTTCCTTTATTATCAACATTTCATATTCTTTGCAATGAGGAAATTTGCTCCCAAGTAGATTACTTGTTCTGTGTTGCATGCATGTTCTCTGTTGTGTGTGTTTTTGTTTTATTTCATTTATTTAGTTATGAATTCCATTTAAACATTTGTTTAATCTCACTTGCTTAATTTGCACTTTTTCTCTATTCTTAATTGCTGCAATTTTCTATTTCAAAATCCTAGTATATACACAGGGATCTTGCAGCCCGAAACATCCTCTTGGCAGCTGATGATGTAGTGAAAATATGCGATTTTGGTCTGGCTAAAAATTGTTACAAGTCTGCTGAATACCACAAGAAAGGAGATGTAAGTGTTCAATGATTTTTAAAACCAAATTTCTTGGTGTATTTCACTGAAACTTTTAAAGCATTAATTTTGCCCCACATGAAACAATTTCTTTCGTTTTGAATTTAAGCATAATTTTATTAATAATTTTTATATTAGTTTCTCTAATCTAATTGGAATTTGAATGTGCATAAAGTTGTAAGGAATGTAATGTCTAGTTGGGTCCTACAGTGGGGCAGAGTGAAATGTCTAGGTGGGTCCTACAATGTTTTTAGATTAAAAAAACTTTAAAATTACTTCCTTTTTGCTTTCAGACACCTGTTCCTATTAAATGGATGGCTATTGAATCTTTGACACACAGAATTTATACAACAAAAAGTGATGTGTATGTATATATATTTATCTTGAACATGATTTAGGTTTTTTCTTCTAATTTGTATCTTTTATATTTTATGCTTGTTTAGTAATTCTTTCTAATTTGTATTTTTTAATTGTTTTTGGCTTGACTTTTACATGTCAACTTGGAGGAGAAAATGTTTAATTGAATTGGCTATACAGTCACAGATTAGGTTCATTATGATGATGATGATTATCATCATCATCACCCAAGTAAGATGAACTGTTATTGCTGTTATCCAAAATTTGATTGCTTGTACAAAATTAATTCTTTTTTTTATTACTGTTATTTGCACAATTTTTCAACAGTATACAACTTCACAATTTGTATCCATCAATATTTCTTTTCTATTTACAAATATTTTGTTTTTGTCTACAGTCTAAAGGACCTTTCAATTGCACTCTTGAAATTTTTCAAATTAGTCATCAGGGACATTGGGCCAATAACAAAAGAATGAGTTTAATATTCTTTGAATATTTTTCAATTAGATTTCAGTCTTAGCAACATTTTAATATATGAACAAAATTGCTATTTTTTATTTTTAGATTAAATACATGAACAATGTTGTAGATTAATAGAATAATAAAAAGCAACAAAAAAATCAGTAATTTATGCAACTTTTTAAATGATGACATCTTAAAATGAAAGTCACCATGTCATTGTTGAGATTGTATCAATTGCTCATTTTTTGTAATGACTTTGAAAATAGAAATTCTAAACTGATGCCACAATAGAGGACAATTTCCATATAAATGCTTTCTTATAAAATTAAAGTTTTTTAAAATTTAAACTGATGTGCTAATTGTCTGATTTGTTGATGAGTAACTGTAATGCTTTTTTTATTGTTTTTTATGATGATAAATATTTTATACAACTAATAATATACCAAATATCTTTACTTTGACACAAGAATCTATAAACTTTAAATTTCTGATTTCTTAAAATTTTAGATGGTCTTATGGTGTGTTCCTCTGGGAATTGTTTTGTCTTGGTAAGTTTATTTGCTTTTAAACATTTTATTTTCTTCCAAAACAAAAACTGTATCCAACAGAATCTGTTACTACAGATAATTAGAATAGTGTGTCAAAAGTTCTTAATAGATGTAAGTTTTTGAAAGATGACCACCCCCGCAAAAAAAAAAAAGAATAAATAAATGAAAAACATTGTTTATTAAATGATCTCATTCTTTGTTTAGATATAATCTAAGAATCCCCAACCTTTTTTTGTTTATTTTCATTTGTAAAATTGTAGTTCACTAATTTTATATAAATGTTACTGTTGCTTTACCTTTATTATTTAAAGCAGCTCAAATTTATTTTCAAGTTTGTAAAAAATTTTTCCAGGTGGCAATCCATATCCAAGTGTAAAAATTAATGAGAAATTTATTGATTTGCTAAAATCTGGATACCGGATGGACAAACCCTTATATGCGACAGATGACTTGTAAGTATATGATTCTGGGAATCTCACTATGTGACTTGACCCTTGCAAATTTATTGGGTTCTTGGTTCCAACTGTTGAGCATAATTGAACACTTGTATACTTAGTAGTTTACTACTTCAAACTATTTTAGTCAGCCTAGTACAGTGCAGTAATAGATCCCAATGAGGATTGAACTCTATACTCTGAAGATGTCTTTAAAAAAAAACAAAAAAACTACACCCTGTCTTTCACAGGCACACAATTGTCTTAAAAAGCTGTTCATATCAAATTACGTTAGGCTGGGAACTTTTCAGCACCACATTTGTGGAATTTACTCATGACATTCATATTGATCTATGCAGGTGGCTAATTCAAAATCTTGTGCTTGTAATTACTATAAAAAAAATTCTGTTTGTGTATTTCTAATCACACAGCAAAAGCAACAAATTTCATTTGAAAGCTAGAGCAATTTTCAATTCAGTCCGGTTACCGGTTTCTGAATCTTTTAAATAAGTAAAAAAAATTGATTTAAAAAAAAAAAAGAAAGGCTAAGGGAGATAACTATAAATTATCATTAAAATAATGTAAACTAATGAAAAAGTTAAGGGAGATAACTCCTTATTTATTAACTGCTTCTTGTTTCCCTTGACCTGTCTTTCCTCTTCTCTGCCAGTGATGATACTTTAATAAGTGTAGCAATAATTAATATTTTTTTTTAATTGCATTCTTCTGATTACTGTTTAGATACATTTTAATCTACAACGTGTTTCTTTTCTCCCCTATTGTCAAGGTACAAAGTGATGTGTGATTGTTGGAAAGTTGAGCCTGGCCAACGACCCACTTTTACTCGTCTTGCTGATACAATGGGAAGCTTTTTGGAAGCCAGAGTTAAACAGGTAAAGAAATTTTTCTAACAAAATGGATAAATATTTTTACAGTTAAAATTTTTTTTCTTTCTGTCTTTAGATGTATTTTTGAAGTGTTCACAGGTGCTGATACTTTTTTTTCTTTTCCTCTTATGTGTGCATATGTGGGCTTTTATAAAAATAAGAATTGTTTTCTTCATACAAACTTCTTTGCTTTGATTAAAACTGTTTCTTTTTTTTTCTTTGTTCTCTTCTAGTATTACTTGGATCTTAGCCAGAATTATGTCGACATGCCAGCAGAGAATTCACAAAATGATGGTTACCTAAAAATGGATGGAGGCCAGTATACAAAAATGTCTCCCCAAGTGCCAGAGGTAGACACTGTCACCCTGTCCAGCAATTATAGTCAGAATGAAGACCTTCAGGATTATATGAACCCACGATGGGGGAACGAGAAAGCAGACTGCTATGAGAAGCAGGCCATGCTTCCCTTGCAGGAGGCTGGACACCTTCCATCTGATGCTCATTCTATTCAAAGAATTAAAGCCCAGGTTCACCACCAAGAAGACAGTGACAGTGGTCATTCCAGTGCCTATGCTCCTGGTACATCACCAGATATGAGTAATGAAGAGTATCTGTTACCTAAAAGCATGGGAAAACGTCCTGATGACTTAAAAGTGGATGATGCCATGGACAGTTTTGGTTCTCCATACCATTATAATGATGTCGCACCACCAGATTATAGTTCTGTGATGGAAGATGTTGGAGAAGAAGCTTTATAACTTTATTAAGTGAATAATATCTAGCAAGTTGTATTTAGTAATGAGACAATTTTTTTATTTTTGTTTTCACACACTTAAAGTCCTGCTTACGTTTGGGGTATTTGGAGAAAAGAAAAATTATACTGACAGGCCAAAATGACCTACAATGATTGATTTTTAAAAAAGAAAATAATGGGTACCCTATTTAAATAGAAGAAAAACATTATTTGGATGCATGACGTACAATTTTTGATGGGACAAGTGAAGGAAAATAGACAGACCAAAATTACCTGTCCCAGTTTTTTCTTAAATATTGCATTCAGACTGAATCAGTTTTGAACCCAGAAAGCAAGCATATTTTTTTTTTTTCCTCTATCATTTATGGGGTAAACCACTGCCGGGTATTTCATCATTTAAATGAACTGAGAAATGGAAGAAAAGACATAACTTAGAAATTATGGGACCTGAAATAACTTTTTGTTTTTCTATCATTCTTTTTGGGTTGCATAAAGAATTCATGAGTGGATGAATTTATTTGTGGTGATTTGTTTTGGTTCATTGCCAAAATATTCACAGAATCATTTTTGATTTTTGTTTTATTGAAACATTTTGATTTTAGAATTCTCTGCATAATTGCTTTCTTAGTTCTGAAATAGATTTTTATTGCTTTTAAGATTTTCATTTGATCTTTTGTTTAGGTTTGAGAAAATTTTGTCAGTCTTTATTATAAAGAAAGAAAAATGACTTGATTTTCATTACCCAGAGATTTAAACTGCTTCTGTAAATATGAAAAAAAAAAAAAAAAAAAAAAAAAAAAAAAAAAACTATTAAAAAACAAGCAAAAACATCCTTGAAATTACAAAAATACAATCTCCCTTTTTCTTAATTAAAAAGGAAAATGCTTTTTAGTAATGAATCTTTGGCACAGATTCAATTTTTCAAAGATGAAATTGATTTTGAGTAGAAAAGATAAAATCTTTATCATTCACTTTTGCTATTTTTGCCTGATTAGGTGTTTCTTTTTCAAATATTTCTTTCTATATTTTTGACTTGTATGCCAAGGTTTATTTTTAGATATCCTTTTTGCAACTCTGATCTTACTATTGCATACATGTTGCTTTTCGCATCACTTCCCATGTTATATGCTAAAATCAAGATGAAAACATTTTACAGGAAAATTTGCATTTAACTGACTTCAATTGTAAAAAGCAGCATTTCAGAAAAAAAAATCTTTTTAATGTTTCAGAAATGACAAAATACAGAGCAAAATATTTTTGGGGAAAATAAAATAAAAAAACCAAACTTTTATCAAGACAAACCTCTATATTTTTTTAATCTATTAAAAATTATCAGCATTATTAGCAAATCAATGAATCTAGATTATTTAATGGGTGATTGAAGAAGTTGTGAATGCTGTTAAAATTATTTTTAATGGCAAGTTCTACCCTCTTAAATTTTTTATTGCTTTGACATGTATAATTGCTTATTTAATGTAAAAAATGTAAAATTTTTCATTGTATATATATATATATATATATATATATATATATATAATTTACTATATAAAGATAACTTGTGCTGAACAATTGTATAAATTCTTCCAACAATGTTTCTTCCTTCTTTTGAACATCCTGCCATGATTATTCATAAAATTTTTCCACTCAACCACATTAAATTCTTAGCTTCAACACAAATGCATTTGTGATATTTTTCAAATTTTCCATTTTCTCATTTGATAAAAATGATTTCCTATTGTGTGCCATATTCCATTGCTGTTACCCCTCCCCCTACTCACCATGTTCTTACAGGGGTCAGAAAACCAATTCTATTCTAGTCATTGATTTATTGCATTTTTGCCCACTCTTTCTATTTATTTATCTTTTATTTATTTTTTTGGAGAGACCAGTGTTCAAAATAATGTGATTGAGTAATTTTGAATATTCTTTTTACTGCCAAAAGATGATATAGTAATCAAATAAAAAAAAAAAAAAAAAATTAAAAAATAAAGGCCAGAAGTTAGAATCATAAATTTTGAATAGTTTTCAGAACTTTTTCCCATTTTCTTACACAAATAGATTTACTTTTTATAAACAATTTTTACTTTTTAAAAGAATATTTTTTCATTTAAGATTATGTCTTTTAGTTTATTGAATCTCTTCACACTTTACAGATTTTTAATAACTTTTTTTAAAAATATAATTTAAGTTAGCTTTTGTGCATTTTGAGTTGTATTAAAAAAAAAGTAGTTTACAAAAAGTAAACTCTTTTATTGGTCATGTCTTGATATGATGAATACATGAAGAAAGTTTTGTTCATGTTGCTATCTACCTTTCCTATAATTTAAGATTTTTATGTGTCACGGTTATTTCTGAAAGACAATGGTCAACACTCTGGACTCTAATGATTGAACATATTTCATGTAACTGAGTGGGACATGGGCTCAGCTGTTGTGATTTTAACTAGAAATTAGTTGGAAAACTTGGAGTTTCTCATGCTGCCTTCACAGATTGTGCCTGATTTGTTCTGGTTTGAATTGCTTAAACCAAATTCTTATTGACCACTAAGTATAAAAAAAAAAAAAAAAAAAATGAACAGCAACAGTCTATGGATTGGTGTTTTTTTTTTCTTCCTGTGAATGGAAAGTAAAAAAGAAATGGCCACATCAATCTGCTGTTTGGGAAGTGATATTTATACCACATTTATATCAGAATGTATTTATGGATTATTATGCTTTAAATTCATTAGTCTTTTTATCATCAAGTTATTAAAATATTCTTCAGCTTGTGTTATTTATACTTATCTCTATCAGAGGTCAGTAGAGTGGATTAAAACTAGTATTGTATGATATCACTAAACATTGATGTATTTTTTTATTACATTGTTGTTGTGACTGTCTTCTCTGTTTTATCAATGATGGCAGCCAATTTATCATTTTTGAGCTTAGAGATTAAAAAAAACAAGATATGGAAGAATATATATAAATTCCTATCAAAATGAATGGCAAAAAAAGTAAATGAAATTTTTTTTCTTGCAGAGATTTTCAAAAACTTTTTCCCATAAAGTTGTCATGAAAAAAACAAACAAAATTGATTCAAATTTATTTACCAATTCCCTACAGATTTTTGAAAATTCAAAAATATTTTAAAGACATTTTTTTGTAGAAAAATCTCCATGTCCGCTCATCAGAAAGAAATGTTTGCAAAATCAAGTATCATCAGAATTTTGTTGCATGAGGCTTTAAAATGTTTTAATAAAAAAAAAGTTAATATTTTCCTGTGCAGTTTACTTTTTGCATGTTGTTCATTTGTTTCTCATTCATTTACATTTGTAATATTTACAAATGGAAGAGAGTCTATTTCCCCATCTCTACACTTTTGATGCCTTTTAGCAGATTTAAGCTTTGCTGCTGCTGCCATGTAAAATTGAATTTTATTCTAAAGATTGATCACTGACACAATACTGGAGGCTAATTAATTTATGGATTTCATATTCAAATATTTAATCAGTCATATTTTGTCAATGTTGACTGATAAGTTCTACTTTATATAAAAATCGGGAAATTTAAAGCTGAATTATTTTTTTTAAGACAGATTTTTTTTTCTTTTGCACTAAAGTCCACCAACAGAATCTGAGGTTATTGAATGACTTTTATTCAAACCATTCCCCACCACAATTATTCTGAAGACTTGTCATAAGAATCATTAATGGGGCTGTTGATCAACTCCAAATATGACTAAAAATATTTTTTTTTATTTTGTAAGAATGGCAATACTTTGCAAAAAAAAAAAAAAAAATGATGGTTATCATTTATTAGAATGTTGTAAGCCATAATAATATATTTTCCAACAATATCAATTTCTCTGGATTAATTTTAAAAAATAAAGTTTTAAATAATCTATAGCAATAATACTATTTTAAAAATTTTGTAATTTATATATATATATATATATATATATATATATATATATATATATAATCAAATAAAATTGACTTCATGAAATTTTAGAGTATTCCATCTCCATTTTTTCTTACCTATTTGGCAATGCCTGCATCCATTACAGTTTAATAAAAAAGTGAAAAAAAAATTTCTGTATTGCTTAAATCAAATATTTCTAAAAAACTTTGCATACTTTTGTAAAAAGGTTTCTTTTTTTTTTTTTTTTTGTAATATCTGTCCTTATCACGCAAATGTCAACTCGATGCATCTTCAAATGATTCTGCTGAAGTTGGCTTGAAGGACATTTTAAAATTGGTAATTCACCTATTCCAAATTCCACTACAAGTACTTTCATTTTTTGGGATTTAGATGACATTTACCCAGAGTTTTGTATGTACTTCCCTGATCCAAATTTTTCCCATCTATCCTGAATGCTTTGATTTAGATCAACTTTATTTGAAAAGTAAAGATTATACATTTTAACAATGGCTTTTGAGATGAGAATGCTAATAGATAAATATTCATCACACTGTAGAATGCTGAGGTCCTTTCTGAAGGTCTCATCCACTTTTGGCAAATCTCTCTCTGTCACCACTTGGTACAGGCCATTGTCATGATGCAGACAGTGGGTGAGCTATTCTCACAAGTCAGTGGTAGTAAGTTTAATTAATTTTCATTTATTTTGTGTCTGGTGAGGGAATTTTAAACTGAATAGGTTGCTTTAATCTAACAAGCTAATTATTAATTTCTTCTCATTAGTAGGGTTTCTTCCTTTTAATCATAGTATTTTATATATATATATATATATATATATATATATATATATATATATATATATATATATATAGTGTATTAAGGGCAGCAGATTATTATTCAAACATATTGCTAAATATAATAGGCAACTAATGTCTATTATGTTTGATCATGAGCCATTCTAAGCTCCATATAGTTGCTTTAGCTCCTCCCACCATCCAATATTTTGGCAAAAAATAAATCCACTGAAGAGAAAAAAAAAAGTTCTTTTTACATTGGTAAACTATTAACTTTTGTCTTATTCTTTATTTCTTTGTGTCAACAGCATTTA